CATCAGCCTGCGGGGCGTGATAGAGAATGCTTTACTGTGGATGACGACAGCGAGAAACCCTCCTAATCCCATACCAATATATAGGTTTGGGAACTCTCTCAGTTTGGTTTGAATACTCTTAAGGATGGTGATAGATTTCCACATGTGCCGCAGACACCTGGTGGACCAAAACAAATGACTGCCACTGGGACAGTAATCTTATGTTGCAGTGACCAGAACTGTTGCAGCACTCGAGGTGCACCCTGACCTGAACACTATATAGCTTCAGTATGGCTTCTGGGTATCTTAACTCAACTGGTTAGCAATATAGCCCAGCATCCAGTTTGTTTTAAAGATTTTTTAAAGAAACTGCAAGAGGTGAATAGCGAAGGCAGAGATTTGCTGAGGTGAAGCCATGGTGGTATTTTAAACTCAGGACCAGCATCTTCAATTCAATCTGCTGGGATATGGGAAGCCAGTTGAACTGGAATGATTAGCACATGGAGCCTGATGTGGGACAGCACACAGGCTTCAAAGTTCTGGATGATCTGTATCTTACGAAGAGAAGAGCTAGGGAGGCAAGTGAGCAGGGTGTTGCAATAGTGGAGCCTGAACTTAATGAAAGCATAGATTAGGATATACCATCCTCCCATCACAGCTACAAACAAATCCAGTATCCTGGTATCAACCACGCTTCCTGGTTCCAGTCCTCAATTACTCTCTGGGCAAAGAAATACTTCCTGATGTTTCCCCTACAATTTCCCTCTGTAACTCTAAACCTGTGCTCTCTTTAATATGCTGCCTTTCCATATTGTTCTGGGTTTACATTCTCAATCCCATTTAAAATCTTATATAACTCTATAAGACTTTCTCTGTGGTATGTTTTTAAAGCTGAATAGCCTCAGCTTGTCTAATTGTTGCTCATATCCTTTACCACTGATGGTCATCCTTAATGCTTTCCTCCATACCTCCTCTGGGGCATGAAAGGAACGTCCTTAGGTCACAGTGACCAAAACTGTACCTAGGACTCCAGGTGTGGCCTGACGAGAGCACTGTTTAGTTTGAGCATGAATTCTGGGGATATGAAGAGCTGATCCGGCAATATAGCCAGCTTGCCTTGTTTATTGCTGATTCACACTGTTTTGACAAGGTAAGTGATGAGTTAACTAACATCTCTTAGTCTCTTTCAGCTTCCCCCTTGGCAAGTTCTATCACATCCATGGAGTACATATATCTCCTGTTTTAATTATGTTGCACTTATCTATCTGAACTTGATTTGTCAGTGATCAGCTCATGTCACACTTTAATAAACTCTCTTGATAAGATCTTTGCTGCTTCTTTTGATTCCATAGTCACCCCCCACCCCTCCCAATTTTCTGTTATCTGTAAACGTAACTGCTCAGACTGAGTCCTTGAATCCAGGTCATTAATCTATACAAGGAGCAGGAGGGATCTCACTATCCCTCCTGTTTCTTGTATACCCGAGGCATCCCATAAATCTCCCCTCATCCCTCCACTGAGGCCGAATTCCTCAAACAACCCTCTGCTTCGTTTCCATCAGCCAATTTCAAAATCCATGTCCGTGTTTTATCATTGATACACACACACACCCCGGTCACTGACACACACCACTGGTCACTCACCACTGGCTCGTTGTATAACCGAGGCATCCCACAACATCTCTCCCCACCCCCACTCCTGCATTTTGACTTAATTCCTCAAACAACCCTCTGCTTCATTTCCATCAGCCAATTTCAAATCCATGTCCATGTTTTATCATTGATGCTTAGCACCAACAGTTTATGAAGGAGCATTTCATGATGTTCTTTGTCAAACCCCTTTTGCAGTTAGATATACAACATCATATGGTTTCCCCACAGCCATCCTGTTACATTGCCTCCTCAAAAAAAAGTATATGAGGTTGGTCAGGTAAGATCTACCCCTTCTGAAACCATGCTGTCTGTCATTTAATACTTTATTTTTGTACTTGTTTTTTGAGACACATGCAAAAAACCCCATCACCATGCTTAAAAAGTATGCAAACCAAACTGATTCCCTACCTACACATGTAAATTCCCGAGATAGAATGTTGGAATGCTCGCCACACTCTCCCCCTGGAGGGATGCATCCTGCTTACCTACTTCTGGAAAGTTTTATAGGCAGGTTGGCAAGAGCCAAAGCTTGGGGACCCCCAGAGTGTGATTTGGGGATACAGCTGGAGACTAACCAGCTAAAACCACTTAGCTTGCCATTGATAGCACCATCTGGCAAGCTTTCCTTGGGCCTGTTAGTGCTTTGCCTTACAGGGTTAACAGGAGCTGAAGGGGAGGATTTCCTGCTACCAGTGACCAGTCTGTCCTAATTACAGCAGTGCCCTGGAATACTGTGGACCAGCCTGACTTAACAATTGGACTATTGAGTTCGCCACAGAGGGCCGGCTCGATTCCAATATTCTGTTGCCCAACATGTCACCTTGGAGCCAGTTCAGCTCCAAGGAGCCCTTGCTTATCCTCCAACCCCCAAACTCCACCCCCAGAAGGATAGTCACCAGTTAGTCGTTCAACATCCGACAAATGCAGGTTTAAGGCCTCATTAGGTAAGTACTAAGAACTTCCTATGAGCCTCCCAGTGGGCAATGCAGCTCAGTATGAAATGCGTGAGAGCATTTCCACCAACTTCCTGTCCACAACTCAGGCACATGTCCCGTCCCATTGAGCAATGGTTCCACCCAGTTGGAGTACAGAGTTTAATCCTCTGTGCGGGACAAACCAAGGTGGATTCCAGGCGCTAGATGTAAAGACGTATGTTCACTCGGATTCCAGGTAACACCTTACAGCAGCTGTCACCCCAAGCCAGAGAGTTTCCTCATCAGCTATCTGGAAGATTTCAGTATGGTGGGAGACCTTTATAGGACCTCTTGTGACGTGCTAACCACCTTGATGTTCTGGAAATCCATCGAGAATTACTAGACTAGACTTACTCAGCTCCAGCTGCTTTCTTCGGGCCCTCATGTGAGGCTCCTTGGCAAATAAACAAGCTCACTGACTCAAGCCTCTGGGGTGCTTATCGAGAGGTCAATGCAGACCGGAGCCAACCTTTCCTGCAGCAGCTTCGGCGTGTTTGCCACAAATCCACCTCACTGCTTGATCTGGGACTTTGCAAATGCTTCGGATTATTGAGGTCAGGCTAATGGGTCTGTAGTTGCCAGGTTTGGTTCTGTCACCTTTCTTTGATATAGGAAGCACATTTACTTGCTTTCAGTCAGGTGTAATTTCACCCATGGTGTGCGACTCATGGAGTCTAAGGGAAATATAACGAACAGCATGATCAAAGAGGTAGATCTTGGAAAAGGACCTTGAGCAAGCATGCGGGAGGGACTCCAAGAGGGATTTCCAGTGAGTCGGGGTAGAAAAGCTGAAGCAGAGCTTTCTATGAAAGCTATTAAATCATTTCATAATCATCTATAAAACAAACTCTTAGATCGCTCGGCTCATGTACTCCTTCCAGTTCTACTCCCAACCATTATTTTTCCATCTGCAGCAGTGCGACTGGTGGCTTTTGGCTGGTGAGGTTCACTTCCTTGGACAATCTATGAGTTTGCCTAACCGAACCAACATGTTACCCATGGCAACAACAAAACCAACAAAATTACCAAGGCACTGGACAGACATAGTTACAGATTCGAGCTGAGGGTCGGGGTGTGGGGAGGGCATAAGGGGAAGCAGGGAGATCAAAAGCACGGTTGAAGAGGAGGAGGTCTTGAGGTAGCTCTTGAAGGTGGCAAGGGAGGGGGGTGTTAGATCCGCGAATTATGTGTCTGTATCTGGAGAGAAAAAATCTGATACAAGTAAACTTAAGAAACAAAGAATGGGTTTTTATTTCTACTTGTATACAGGAGCACACAATTGTTCCCGTATACAAATAGGATCTAATGTCTCCCTGTCAGACAAAAGATCCTCTTCTTCGGTACCATTAAGTTTTATACAAGAGTACACAAAATACACAGAAGGGGTGTTTTTCCTTACAGACCAATCAGGTTTGCTGCATGCGTTCCCACACTTCTTGCTTCAGCTTGTTTCAACTGTACTAATCTTGCAGTTTTGCTAGAAGGCCATTTCTATGTTATCACCCGCCGTTCCTTACACTGTGGCCTTCAGATAACGGGATTCTACAATAACAAGTCTAACCTACTTACTTATGTCTGCTTAAAGGCGTTTACACAGCAATAGGCCAGGGCACAAGCTACGATATACAATTAAACATACCATAACATCTTTTTCCTCTATCATTCCCTCCTTTTTATGGTATTTTAAACTGATATTTATGTCCTTTTTCTGTGCATTACATGCAACCTTTAAGCATAACATCAGTAGTCCCGATCCTTCTGCAAGTACAGGTTTTAGATCAGACACATCACAGGTGCTTATAGTTTACTCATTCTGCAGAAAAAGTTTTCCCAGGTGCATATCATGCAATCCTCCAGTGCCTTCTTCAAGCAAGCTAAGGTTGTCCTCACTAGTCATCATAAATGTGGCGGCAGGAATCATCTTAGAAATAGTACCCCGAATAAGGGGAATAATACAACAGCAGCACAGCATGAGAACAACTATTACTATTAACAGGTACATACCCAATTTCCATAGCCAAGCTCCCCATCCCCATTCAGAAAGCCACTTACTAAGCCAATCAGAGGGTCTCTGGGGTTCCTTGATGGCAGACCGCATGTGAGAGATGACATTTGTCAAATTTTGATGGCCATCAGGAATAAAGAAACAGCAACTAGTCCCGAGCATTTTGCAAACACCTCCTTTCTCAGCCGTAAGCATGTCTATTATCAGACGATGTTGTATGATTGCCTTGCGCATGGCTCCCATTTCCCCATCTATGATCCCAACTGCTTCTTCTGTTTCATTAGCCAAGGCATGTAACTGAGTCGCTAACCCATTAATTTTTGTCAAGGCACCAGCAGTGCCCACATTAGATATTCACATGCTTTACGGTGGACAGGGGAACAACGTGCAGGCGGGAACTCATTTGCTGACAAATCCAGCAGTGTTTTGTTTCGAGGCTTCCTGCCTGGAGTATCGAAAGTGCGCAAGCATGATTATCATTGCAAATGCTCAGGGCCCGAGTGGCCGATTGAATTTTTTGTTTGGTTAATGGCCAATCATCCTCCTCCCCAGAGACTGCCATTTCCTCAATCAATTCTTCCTCCTCAGAGGTGGGAACTTTTGTGACTTCTGTAATTTTTGATTGTTGGGAATTGAGGACATTGATTACAATTTTTTGGTATAAATCCCCATAAGGTCTTTCTATACCACACCACCAGGTGCCTGCATCCGAATCAGACAGCTGTGTTATCTGAACTCTTGCCCCATCACTGTTTTGTATCTTTGAAATTGAGAACCGAGACCCAATCGAGTGGCCTCGGCGTGTATTGGCCACTACCGAGTGCCAATTGTAGGGGCCACACGGATGTTTGCAGAAATACTTTTCATCACGCTGGTGGCGGAAGTGAACTTTAGTTTTACCGAATCCCTGTAGGGCCTAGGGTTGCAGTCGAAGGAGATGGTGCTCCCTTTTTCCCCTGAGACATGCTTATCTTCGTTTGCTAGGACAAGACTTCCCACTCCTGTTAATAATAATAATGTAAACATGGCGGGAATTGGGCAGTTACCTGATACCCGCAGTGTTTTCTTGAGTCTTCACTGGGTTGAGGTGAGCGTATCCTTGTGCATACACCCCCCTTTGTAACCAGACTTTAACACTTACGTGGTATTTTCCTGTCCAATTCCCTCTGTTACCTTTTTACAATGTGTCAAATGTATCCAAGTAGTTCTTTCTGCAATTTTAACAGCGGTGGTGGGAGTAGTCAGGAGGACTTGAAACGGTCCCTTCCATTTAGGGTGATGCCAGGTCTTTCTTTTTACGTCTTTAATCAGGATCCAGTCTCCCGGTTGCAGCGAGGGGACCAACGATGTCTCGGTGATAGTCTGAGGGGGTAGAATATTAAGCATTTCTTTTTTATTAGATAGCATGTTTCGCATGTAGTCGGCTGGACATGCTTCTTTAACTGCCCCTCGTTGTCTCCCAACTGGGGAATGCGATAGGCTTTTCCCTGTACTATCTCGAATGGTGATAGTGGTTTATTCCCTCGGACAATGCGCATGCTAGTAAGTGCCAATGGCAGGCAGGCTACCCATCCCTTGCCTGTTTCCTGCATTGCCTTTTTTAATTTATTCTTAAGTGTACCGTTATGTCTCTCCACTAATCCGGCTGATTGAGGGTGGTAAGCGCAGTGCTTTTTCAGTTTTATGCCTAATTGTTTTCCGACGTGATCAAGGACTGCATTTCGAAACTCGGGTCCATTATCACTATATAGGACTTGAGGTATTCCCCACCTCGGTATTATCTCGCGGCATAATATTTTTGCTACCGTTAGTGCGTCTATTTTTGCGGTGGGGAATGCCTCCACCCACCCTGAGAATGGGCATATCATTACCAAACAATGCTGCTTTCCCTCACTTGGCGTCAAGTGAATGAAATCCATCATCAAATGAGCAACTGGCTCTGAGGGGGGGAGGGTATTTGTCCTTTTGGGCATTTTACTCCTCCCTGTGGGTTGTTTTGTAGACATGTAAGGCACTTTTTACAAAATGTTTTTGTATAGGATGAGAATCCGAAGGTTGTATATCTACCATTTATCATCGATACCATCCCCCTTTTGAGACATGACATTTACCATGGCTCAATTCCGCCGCAATAGGGAAAAGTGCTTTGTTTACTGCTTGGATGTCCTGTACCAATCGCCACCCGACGGAGGGAAGGACTTTTTTTACTGGAAAGAGTGGGGTGTTACAAGGGGAATCAGGACACGGAACAATGACCCCTTTTTCTTTTAATTCTTCAATAATGGGTTTAATTCCTTCATGTGCTTCCGGCGAGATGGGATACTGTCTTTGGTATGGTCTGAAGGTGCTTTTAGGGTTAATTTTAATGGGCTCTACTCCCTGCATTAACCCAACATCCGCCGGACCCTGTGACCACAAAGATTCTGGGATTTGGTTTAACGCTTTTTCCAAATCTGCACTGAGCCCGATTAGTCACGGTCTCGCAGGGGGTCCTCTCATGAATCTTGCCCGTATACAATGAGCCACCCAATTCAGTTGTCTGGAGAATACTTTTCCCTTTTCTGAATACCAGATACCTGGTTTTCCTGTCTCCTTCCAATCAGTCAGCCTCCTTCCCTTATCGACAAATACTCCCACATTTTCCCATTCCTCCCCAACGGCTTTAGCCACTGAAACATGGGGAAAAGTTTCATTTTTATAATTTAACTCATCCTCGGGCTGCAGAGCGACCAAACATCCCATTGTGGAATCGTTCCAGAAAATTGTTTTCAAGGTAATCCGAGTAGGGCTTTTTAATTTATCTAATAATTCTTTAGTACTTTCGGGCTTCAATTTACCATCAAATCCAAACTTCTTTCTCCACATGAATTCTGGTTTCCCGCTCCCCGTAACTACGGCCTCCATACGTCGGCCATTAGGAGACAATTCCACTTCCTCTACTCGCTTACAACACGTACAACAACCCCCTTTACTATTTCCATTGCCCATGTTTAATTGTATTTGACTTATCTCAATCAGACACTCGTTATTTGCATATATATATATATATATTTGTTTCGGGTAGTCCCGTCACTCACCCACTCTCCCGGTTTGCCCCCAGACCGGCTCCACAACTCACCCCACTTGTACGTCGAGGACGACTTTCTCTAAGGGGGATCCTCACCGTTCGAGGCTGTAGAGTGTGCGAGCAAATTATCCCAGATAATTCTTGTATACGGCCTTTCGATCCTTCTCGATCTAGGTTCGCCCAGCGGCGGGTTGTCCCGGACAACTCACGTATACAACTACTGGTCTGGCGGGTTTACCGTAGGGTGCGATGAGATGTTGGGATCCCGGACGAGCCCCCAATTGTTAGATCCGCGAATTATGTGTCTGTATCTGGAGAGAAAAAATCTGATACAAGTAAACTTAAGAAACAAAGAAAGGGTTTTTATTTCTACTTGTATACAGGAGCACACAATTGTTCCCGTATACAAATAGGATCTAATGTCTCCCTGTCAGACAAAAGATCCTCTTCTTCGGTACCATTAAGTTTTATACAGGAGTACACAAAATACACAGAAGGGGTGTTTTTCCTTACAGACCAATCAGGTTTGCTGCATGCGTTCCCACACTTCTTGCTAGAAGGCCATTTCTATGTTATCACCCGCCGTTCCTTACACTGTGGCCTTCAGATAACGGGATTCTACAATAACAAGTCTAACCTACTTACTTATGTCTGCTTAAAGGCGTCTACACAGCAATAGGCCAGGGCACAAGCTACGATATACAATTAAACATACCATAACATCTTTTTCCTCTATCAGGGGGAGACTGAGTGATTACGGGATGGAGTTCCAGAGGGTGGGTGCAGAGTGGTGGAAGTCCCGCCCGCCGATAGTGGGGCAAGCAAGGTAGGGGATGTGAAGCCGGCCAGAGCCCGCTGAGCGGAGAGAGCGAACAGGGTGCTAGGGGGTTAGGAGGTCGGAGTGGTAAGGGGGGGAGCAAGACAGTGGAGGGCTTTGAAGGTGAGGATCAGGATCTTGAACTGTATCCTCTCTGTGATGGGAAGCCAGTGGAGTTGGGCAAGGATGGGGGTGATAGGGTCGCGGAGCCAAGTGCAGGAGAGGACATGATCTGCAGAGTTCTGGATGATCTGCAGCCTGTGGAGGGAGGAGTTGGGGAGGCCGACAAGCAGTGAGTTTGCATAGTCAAGCCTTGATGTAATGAAGGTGTGTATGAGGGTTTCGGAGGCCTGCGGTGTGAGATGGTGTCAGAGCCAGGCAACATTGCGGAGGTGGGGGAGGCAGAGCGGGTCATGGCACAGATGTGGGGTAGAAAGGATAGTTGAGGGTCAAATAAGATTCTGGATTGGCTTAGCAAGGTGGTGTGTGCAACCATGGATGGTGATGCTGTCAGCACCTGAGGTGAAGACTTTCTGCACACACAATGTATTGCCTTTTCTCCCATTGGCCTTTGCTGCTTCACTGACACTGATCTGCCCTTCCTCCCTCATCCAATTTGCTCAGCTTCTGCTCGCTGGTCTCGCAATACTCGCTGGCGAAACATAGAAATTCTAGTTGAGGCAGTGCTTCACTTGCCTCACCTGATGAGCTGCCACTAATCTGAAGTGTACAATCTCACACTTTGCGATGTTAAACTGCATCTGCCATAGTTGTTTCCACTCGCTTAATCTGTCGACATCTTTGCAATGTTTGCCTGTCCTTTTCACAATTTACAACAGCTCCGAGATTAGTGTCACCCGTAGAGGTAGTCCCTTCCTGGATTCCTGTATCCAGGTCACTATACAGGGTGAAAAGCTGTGGCTCCACCACTGATTGGTGGGGGGCGCCAGTTGTCACTACTTGCCAATTAAAGAATGTCCCTTTCTCCGAACTCTCTACATTCGATCTCCCATCTAATTTCTTATCCATCTCACAATATTGTCTTCAGCTCCATGTGTCTGAATCAAAGCTAATAATCTTTTATGTGAGACTTTACTTGCTGAAAATCCATTTACATTTACAGAACATCCATTGATCTTACCCCTTTTATCCATCACCCCAGTGGTTCTGTCAAACAACTATTAGATTTGTGAGACATGAACTACATTTCACAAACCCATGTTGGTGCTCTGTGATCTGTGCATGTTTATCCAAATGGTCAGTTCTAATGTGTCTGATGTTAGATTCAAGTAATCTGCACCTCACTGGTGTTTTATTTTGTTATTATTGTGGTCACTGTAATTTAATGGATCAACTACTCCCAGTTTATATGTTGACTGTATGAAGTCAGTACTAACTTCTCACATACACATTCACTACTATCATGAAGGGAGTTTCTCCTTGTATGCTCCCGACGTGAAAAGCACTATATCAATTGCAAGGATCATTATTATTATCCTGGCTATTTTGCATTATGTTTTACATACCTTCCTGCTTTGCACATCTCCAGTATCTCTTAAGTACTAAATTGGATTTGAAAAGGAAGGTTTTCAGGCGGGACTTAAAAAAGGTAGAGAGGAAGCAAGATGGAGGGATTGAGGAAGAGTGTTCCACAATTTCAGTGAGTAGTGGCTGAAAGCGTGACATCGAACGGTGGGGCGGAGGGTGCAAGGGACGAGCAGGAGATATGTACCAGTCTAGCAGAGGCGCAGGTTGGTGGATTGGGGAGTGAAGAGATCGGAGAGGTAGGGAGGAGACAGGGAGTCAGGGAGTAGATTTTGAATATGAGTGTGAGGATCTGAAGTCGATCTGTTCGGTAAAGGGGAGCCGGTGGAGCCTGGCCAGAACTGGTGAGCTAGAGGAATGGAGTTTGGTGCAGGTCAGAATGTGGTCAGCAGAGTTCTGAATAAGCTGCATTTTTTGAATAGTGGAGCTGGGGAAACCAGCGAGGAGTGCGTTTGTTAATCCAGGCGGGAAGTGACAAACGCATGCACGAGGAGTGAAAATGTTGCTGGGAGCCAAGGAGTATGGCTTCCGTCTTGTCCACAATCAGCTGCAGGAGGTTTGCACTCATCCAGACAAGCTGACAGAACATCGGCGGACCTGGAATTGATACTGGAGGAAGCAAAGTAGATTTGTGTGTCATTCACACACATGCGGACGTTTATCCCATGTCTGTGGATGACATCGCCAAGAGGGAGCATATAGATTAAGAAAAGAAGGGGGCCAAGGCTGGAGCCCTGGGGTATCCCACAGGTGACCGGGCGGTGGTGTGAGGAGAAACCATTTGCTGAGATGAAGAGGAGGTGGTTGGTTAAGTAGGACTTGAACCATGCAATTTGTGGTCCCATTAAGATGGATGAGGGAGGAGAGTCAGTGTCAAACGCGGCAGAGAGATGATAATAATATTATCCAGGCGATGAAGGATGCAGAGGGAGCCTGTCACAGATAGAGAGGACCTTGTATATGATTTTGACAAGCGCTGTCTCTGTGCTGTAGGCAGGGCAAAAACCAGACTGCAGGGGCTCATGGATGGAGTGGAGGGAGAGGTGTGACCGAAGTTGACCTGCAACATTGTGTTCCAGGAGCTTAGCAGAGAAGGGTAGGTTGGAAATGGGACAGTAGTGTAAGTGATTAAAGGGACTGAGGTGTGTTTTTTGAGGATGGGTGTGATAATAGGGGGAGTGGAACTGAGCCTGAGGAGAGAGACTGGTTGACCGTGTCAGCCAGCAGGGTTGAACAGACAGGGAGGCTGACCAGCAGCTGAGTGGGGAGGGGGGGTTGAAGCAGCAGGTGGTAAATTTAATGCAGGTGATTGTGGTTGAGAGGGAGGAGGGAGAAATGGAAGCAAAAGAGTGTAAGGAGGGGGCAGTGGCAGGAGCGGCGGCGGGAGACGGCGTGTGGATAGTCTGGGTGGGGTGGAAGGGGACATGGCGGGGAAAGGTGATGGGGGGAAGCCAAGCAGATGTTTTCAATCTTTGAGGCGAAGAAATCTGGGACTTCTTCGCACTTGGCATTTGATGTGAGATAGAGGAGGCTTGAGGGAGTGCACAGAGGAGTTGATGGATGGTGGAAAATAGTGCCTTTGTCGTAAATTGGCTGCCACAATATACATAGTAATTCACTTTACAGTATATTCTATGAAGCTCAACAATGTGATAACAACAATAAAATTACATTAAGGTGCTACATCAAATGCAAGAATTATTTATTTGTTTGTTTATCTATTTTTGCTGCTGATTTTGGAGCATTTTTGTTTGATTTGCCCCCACTGCACTTAGAATATGTACTTGTCCTACATACGCTGTGAATGGTTTTGATTCAGTATGTCCATTTGTCCTCTCTGCTGATTTGTTTTTGAGTAATTCTTCCCAGTCTAGACCATTTAGCTCTGCCCTCATAGCTATCATGTTTGCCCATCTAAATTTGCATACTAAAGTTTAGTTGAAATCCATCATCACCATTGTTAAGAGCTTTGAGACTCCGCCCTAATGTGGAGGGTGCTATATAAGTACAAGTTGTTGTTGTTGAAAGTTTGTGTTGTCTCCCAAGTCAGATTGAATATCATTGATCTATGGTCACTGTCATTTAGGCGGATCATCTACTGCTGATCCCTGATTAGTGTCAGGGTCATTAATCGGCGATAGCATTGTGCACTCCCAGATACAGAGTCACTATAGAGATCCCCTCCCGATTCCCAATTCAGTTTCTTAAACACTTCTTAGTACTTAACAACAACAACAACTTGTATTTATATAGCGTGCTTCATGCGGGGTAGTGTCCCTGAGCTCTTTGCAGTTGACAACGAGCCAGGGGGAGAGGTAGAGGGAGATGACTGTAAGCACGATCAAAAACAAAGGTCTACAGGCAGGATTTGAAGGTGGGGAGGGAGAGGGCAAGGTACAGGGATTGAGGGAGAGAGTTCCAGAGTTTTGGGGTAGTGGCTGAAGGCACGGCCACTGATGGGGGAGCAGATGGGACGAGGGACAATCTGGAGCCTGGAGCCAGCCGAGCGGAGGTAGCAGGTGGTGGAGTGCGGGGTAAGCAGATTGGATAGGTAAGGAGGTGCAAAGGAATGAAGCGATTTGAAAACGAGTGAGAGGATCTTGAAATCGACCCTTTTGGTCAGTGGGAGCCAGTGGAGTCTGGCAAGGACTGACGTGATGGGGTATGGAGCTTCATACGAGTATTTGGGCGGTGAAGTTTTGAATTAATTGAATTTTGTGTGTGGTGGAGTTTGGGAGATCAGCGAGGAGGGCATTGAAATAGTCCAGCCAGGAAGTGACAAGCTGCATTGGTTGTGAGGTACAGAGGGAGGCGGCTTATGTGGCGGAGGTGGAAAAAAGCGATCCTGGTTTTTGTTACTCAAATAAAAATTGCTGCTTTTTTGTTTTGTGCCAACATTTACTTCACTCCCCGTTTAGTGAGGTATTAACCATTTGTCTTATAAACGCCTTGTCTACTTGAAATCTTCCCCAGTTACCTACTAATTTTTCTCCTGTACATAACCTTTGTAACCAGACATTAAAGTTGATTATCCTGCTGCGTTCTAACAGCTTGGCCTCCCTTCGCCGCATAGTCACCTGTGGCATTCCTCAGGACTCCATGCTCAGTCCTTTCCTTTTTGGGACCTATGTGCTCCCTCTTGGTGGCATCATCAGTAGTTGTGGGGTCCACTTCCACATGTACATAGATGCCACCCAACTCCATCTCTCTGACTCTACCCTCAGCCTCACACACCCCAACCCAGGCTCCCAGACGGTTCTGTGATTGACCTTTGAGACGTCCTCCCAATGTGAAAGGCACTATAGGAATGTCAAATTGTTGTTGCTCATTCTACTTATGATAATAATCTTGGCATTTGATTTAGCACCAATTATCATGTCACTCTTGTATCAGGTTGTAACGTATGTTGACAATATCAGATCTGTAACAAAAACATTTTTGTATAATGTCTGCAAACAAACTTAGGTGCCTGACTGGTCCATTTGGTAGCAGTGTTGCTTCTGCTTCAGAAGGTTGTGGGTTCAAGCCCTAGATTGGGACACTGAACTCACAAAGTTTAGGTTGACATTTCAATGCAGTATTGAGAACACTGCATTGTCAGAGGTGCCATTCTTTGGTTTAAATGTTACATCATGGTCACATCTGCTTATTTAGGTGGATGTTAAAGATTCCATTACACTATTTGAAAAGAGAAGGTACCTAGTGTCTTGGCCAACAATCCCCCAGTTAAAAAAATTATGTTTGTGGGACATTGTTGTGCACAAACTGGCTGCTGCATTCGTCTACAAAATACAGTCACTAAATATTTTCTGTAGACAATACAATTGGTTTATTTATTTGTATTGTTTAGCCTAGAATGCTTATGGGACATGGCTCCCCTTGTGTTTTTCCAGTATTGTACAGATTTCACTAGTATTTCTGAAAAGGTCACTAATATAAATGTAAATACTCCTGCAAACAGGAACATTTCCTGATCTGGGATGCTTACAGATTGCTGTCAATTTTTATTTCTTATCAGCCTTTCAGCAGCCGTTAGCTGAATCAGCAAAAGATTCATTGGAACAAAGTAACTTAATCCGATGAATGAAATGAATCCCTACATATCTTGATTGGTGAAGTTTGTGGTTCATATTAATCTACATAAAAGCAATTTCTTTCAGAATCTGAAGGAAGTGACCAGAATTGCAATGTCCCTCAGAAACAATGTAAACAGATGAAGTATTTTGGTGATAATTGGAATCCCATTTACATTCCACAAATGAGGAGTTTGATTTTAAAAAGTCTAAATTAAATTAATTACATAGACTGCATCTTATTTTTCATGAAACAAACATAAAGCCTCCCTAAGGAGACGGTTGAAGCAGGAAATTTTGATTCTTTCAAACACAGATTAGTTTTCTTTTGGAAATAACATCATGGGATATAGTACATAGGTAGTTTGGGACATATGTGCATGTGACCACAAGGAAGGTGGAAAGCGTACTAAATGGATCTTGTTTTTTTTTCGTTTAGCAATTCATATGTTCTTATGTACAGCTTTACCACAATCTGAAGATATTCTGGGTTTCTTCCGTGGCTATATAGTGCAATTCACCAGCAAGAGTCACAGATTCAGTATAACAGCAACAAGTTGGATTTATATAGTGTCCTTTGTTTACGTTGAATGTCTCAATGTGGGGAGTGTGCATGCTGTGGGAAGATTTTCCACTTCTTCATAAGGTATTGGCCCAATTTTAAAAAGTAAAGGTTTGAAGTTAAAAATCAGTTATCATAGGAGAAATAAAAATGTCTTTCATTAAATGTAACATACATAGCTGGACCTGGTTCTAGTAGGTGGGGGTGGGGAGAGGAGTAATACTTATGGAAGATTGTTACAGGTTTTTCTTGATATCATTCCCAAAGAAAGTGGTGGTTTAAATATCAATGTCATACACAAATGTTCATGTTTGGGCTGCTGTTAAATCTGTTATGCTCTCAACATTCAACTTGTAGAAAACTCTTTTATTCTCAGCTCACAACTTTCAAATCAAACAATCCAACCAAAAACCCTATAGTCAGTTCTTCCTGCTTCCTGCTTTACTGATCCCTTCTCATTGGTGCTTGTTAATTAGTCCTTATTTTCTTAAAGGATATCCAACATCTTCCCCTTTTTGGTTTCTTTTTTTCCTCTCGTGTCTCAATCTTGTTCAATTAATCTCTTTTTTACTATTAATAATAATAATCCTTGTATTTGATATAGTGCTTTTCACGTCGGGAGTCCCAATGCGCTTCACAGAACACACTGTAAAGTAAATTGACTGTATATTTGTGGGCGAACGCGGCAGCCAATTGCGCACAGCAATGTCCCACAAACAGTCGTAGATTGAAAATGACCAATTTATTATTGTTTTTGTAGGGATTATTATTAGGTGTGTGGAGTAAGGAAACTTGCCCAAGGTTTCACCCTGCCTGGAATTGAACTCAGGTCTCTCACTTAATAATAATAATAATAATCCTTGCATTTGATATAGCGCTTTTCACGTCAGGAGGACGTCCCAAAGCGCTTCACAGAACACACTTTAAAGTGAATTGACTGTATATTTGTGGGCGAACGCGGCAGCCAATTGCGCACAGCAATGTCCCACAAACAGTCGTAGATTGAAAATACCAATTTTAATTATTTTTTTTTTGTTTTTTTTTGAGGGATTATTATTAGGCGTGTGGAGTAAGGAAACTTGCCCAAGGTTTCGCCCTGCCTGGCAGGGCGAAACAAAGCGAGTGCTCTAACCACTGAGCTGCTGTTAAATCTGTTATGCTCTCAACATTCAACTTGTAGAAAACTCTCTTTTGTTTTCACTCAACTGTCTTATCATCAATATTTATGCTGTCTATCTCCTTGTCTCCTTGGAGTCCTGTAGCTCAGTGGTTAGAGCACTTGCTTTGCAAGTGAGAGACCTGAGTTCAATTCCAGGCAGGTCAGGGCGAAACCTTGGGCAAGTTTCCTTACTCCACACACCTAATAATAATCCCTCCAAAACCAAGAACAATAATAAATTGGTCATTTTCAATCTACGACTGTTTGTGGGACATTGCTGTGCGCAATTGGCTGCCGCATTCGCCCACCAATATGCAGTCAATTCACTTTACAGTGTGTTCTGTGAAGCGCCTTGGGACGTCCTCCCGATGTGAAAAGCGCTATATCAAATGCAAGGATTATTATTATTATTATTATGTTCTCAACGCCCAATGTGCAGAAAACTTTTATTCTCAGCTCACAAGTTGCAAATCAATCAATCAATCCAACCAATAAAAAAACCCTAGTCAGTTTTTCCTATTTTTCTACCTCCTGATCCCCTTTCATTGCTCCTTATTTTCTTAAAGGGTATCCAACAAAACCTAGTTACAATACTGTCTCCCTGGGATAATAATTTTAAAATATTGATGCCACCTGCTGCTTTGACCCCATCCCCACACTGGGTCTGGAACACTCTTATATCTGTCACTGCATTTGTTAGCTCAGTCTTTTATTTAGTGGATCTTTAACCGAGTTAATTCTCTTATCTCCCTATTTCGTGTGTTACATTCAAATGATCTTTGGCAACGTTTTAATTTTGTGTGCAAAGTTCATTGCATTTAACATAAACACTACGTTGCTGTCGCTGTTCCACTGAACAAGTTGCCCAGAGGCTGAGGATCGGATAAAGCGAGATTCGTGTTATTGGCAAAGGGGGAATGTCTGTGGGATGTTGGCTGTGACTGGGAGTGAGGGATTGGCTGTGTGGGGGCTGTGTGGGTGGGAACTCGAGCCCCTTTATTAGGGGGGAAAACACTAACGGAAAGCTAGAAACTACCAGGTACATCACAGGGAAGCTTGTGCATAGCTCTGTCTGGGTATGTCTGTCTGTCTCTGTCTGTCTGTTTGTGTGTGTGTCTGTCTGTGTGTGTCTCTCTGTGTGTGTATCTGTGTGTCTGTCTGTGTTTGTATCTGTGTGTCTCTGTGTCTCTGTTTGTATGTGTGTGTGTTTGTATGTGTGTGTGTGTTTGTGTGTTTGTATGTGTGTGTGTGTTTGTATGTGTGTGTGTTTGTATGTGTGTGTGTGTGTGTTTGTGTGTGTGTGTGTGTTTGTGTGTGTGTGTGTGTGTTTGTATGTGTGTGTGTGTTTGTATGTGTGTGTGTGTGTTTGTATGTGTGTGTGTGTGTTTGTATGTGTGCGTGTGTTTGTATGTGTGTTTGTGAGTAGAGTTCATTCACAGCCGAACCAACGGTTTGTCAGCATTGCCAAAAAAATTGCCTCACCACCTGAAGTGAAGCAATCCAGGCTGTAACCCTGCAAGTTACACTGGTTGAAAGCACCGGATTACTTTGCATTAGAGAGGATTTAGTATCCTGTATTTATAGAACCAATGTGCTGAGCAGGTACTGTGTGTGTGTGAGTGAGTGTTTTTAAATGAAGAGAAGGCGAGATTAGTGCAGAGTGTGTCAGGTGAGAGAGACCTGTGTGAGTGAGTTTGATCAGGTTGGGCGATGGGGATTTGAAATTGTGAACATCTGAACACGATATTAAGTGAAAGAGATGTTGTTATCGGTTGAGGAAACCCCTCTCTACCCATTATCAATGTGCAGTGTTGCAGCCCAGCCTGGCCAGCCCTGTGTGCTGGACATGCAGGGAGTGTGAGTGTAGCAGGTGTGTGTTGGACGTGCAGTGAGTGTGAGTGTAGCAGGTGTGTGCTGGACGTGCAGTGAGTGTGAGTGTAACAGGTGTGTGCTGGATGTGCAGTGAGTGTGAGTGTAACAGGTGTGTGCTGGACGTGCAGTGAGTGTGAGTGTAGCAGGTGTGTGCTGGACGTGCAGTGAGTGTGAGTGTAGCAGGTGTGTGCTGGATGTGCAGTGAGTGGGAGTGTAACAGGTGTGTGCTGGACGTGCAGTGAGTGTGAGTGTAACAGGTGTGTGCTGGACGTGCAGTGAGTGTGAGTGTAGCAGGTGTGTGCTGGACGTGCAGTGAGTGTGAGTGTAACTGGTGTGTGCTGGACGTGCAGTGAGTGTGAGTGTAACAGGTGTGTGCTGGACGTGCAGTGAGTGTGAGTGTAACAGGTGTGTGCTGGACGTGCAGTGAGTGTGAGTGTAACAGGTGTGTGCTGGACGTGCAGTGAGTGTGAGTGTAACAGGTGTGTGTTGGACGTGCAGTGAGTGTGAGTGTAACAGGTGTGTGAGCGCCTCTTCTCTCCTCCCCTCCCTGTACAGAGTGTCCTCAGCTTGTCTCTATTAGCCAGAATAAAGCGCCATGGACTACGAGGAATTCCGCACCAGAGGGAAGGAGATGGTGGATTATGTGGTCGATTACCTGCAGTCCATTGAGGAGCGTCCCGTTTACCCGTCTGTGGAGCCCGGCTACCTGCGCCATCTCATCCCAGAGAGCGCCCCCGAGCAGCCCCACTCCTTCGAGGAGGTGATGAAGGATGTGGAGAGGGTGGTCATGCCAGGGGTGAGCACAGGCAGACCCTTCACTGTTGCAACATGCCTTATCCTTGCCCCCAGACATTTAAAGCCCATTTACTAATAATACTTATTTATTATTACAGTATTATTGTTATTACATTTAAAACCCATTTACAGTCTTATTATTTTTATTATTGTTATTAATACAAATTCGATGCAACACAATTACTTTGCATTGGGGAGGATTTGAAATTTTGAACATCTTCCATCACCCCTTAACCAACATAGAATGTAAAGTGTTTGCTGTTGAGATGACTTAAAATAAAACTTTTTAGGGTTTAAAATAAAACACGGAAGAGCTGAGCTGCCTGATATTCTTTATTTAAACTAAATTAATTGCAGGTCGACCTGAGCCAAATGGAACATTGCTTTAATGTGGTTGTGATATTCAGCTAAATGTGTAATAAGATTAAAAAGCAAGTCTGTCGAGAGTTTTTAAAAACTGCGTCAATGTGAGTTTTGCGGTCTTAAAGGCTTTTGAAATGATATATTTTTTAAACATTTATTGTTTCAGATAACTCACTGGCACAGTCCACATTTCCATGCCTATTTCCCCACGGGAAACTCCGTGCCGGGTATGCTGGGTGACATGCTCTCCAATGCTATCAGCTGTATTGGCTTTTCCTGGGTAAGAATTTTAGAGTGCATATTGCACACGTTTAAACATTCCTGTTAATAAAATTGCATTGAGACACTGAAATGCCGAATTCATGTATTGGAAAGGAGAGCAGTTTTGTAATTCCAGATTATTCAATCCAGCAGGCTTGTAATGTTTTTCTCAGGTTAGCTTGAATTTGTAGCTATCCATTAATTTAAAGAGTTGCAAAACATTTATTTGTTCATCGATGTTTTGTAGAAATAAATTTACATTCATCCCAATGTCGATATGTGCAAATATCAGATGATCATATGAAATACATGTACAGTGCTCACTAACAGCTACAGTATTATTGCTATAGCAACAGTGTTCTGATGTTTACTAATAATACTTATTTATTATTACAGTGTTAATGTTACATTTAAAGCCTATTTACTAATAATACTTATTTATTATTACAGTATTATTGTTATTACATTTAAAACCCATTTACAGTCTTATATTTTTATTATTGTTATTAATACAGATTTGATGCTATAACAATACTGTAATAATAAATAAGTATTATTAGTAAACATCAGAACACTGTTGCTATAGTGCAACCTAGGCACCAATGCAGTGCTGGGGAAGCCCTGTATTATCAGAGCTGCAGTCCTTCGTGCGAGACGTTAACCAAGGTCCCTGTTCAAGTGGATGTTAAAAAAAAATCCCATAGCACTATTCAAAAAGAAAAATAGAGTTTTCCTGGTGACCTGGTCAACAATTCCTGAGATAATTGGTTCATTCAATATTATAATAATAAAAAAATTGCATTTCACATCTTGTCTCAAAGTGTTTCACATAATTTACGATAAACTGTATTTTTCGGTGAATGTATCCATGGCTGTTCTTGAGACATTGCTGCCCATACAAAGTACAGTTCCTAAACTTCACGGTCAAATTACTGTGAAGTGCTTTGAGACCTTATGCTGATGTGATAAGGTGCTATATCAGATGCAATATTATTATATATGCTCATTTGCCTACAAATAAACAATCAATACTCTTCACGGAAACTTTTGAGAAGTGCTTCCCCAATTTGCCCACAAAATATATACAGTCAATTCACTTTACAGTATATGCTATGAAGCGCTTTGAGACATCTTGAAGACATGATAAGGCACTAATATCAAATGCAAGGATTATTATTAATTTCAACTATCTATGCAGCAAAATAATAATAATCCTCCCAGTTCATATAGCGACTTTCATGTTTACTTTGTAAACAAATGCAGAAGCTAATTTGCACTCAGTAATGTCCACCAAACAGCCTTGAAGTGAATCATCTATTTTACCTGAGGGACTGTTGATCAAGACACGAGGAGAAATTCCCTTTATTTTTCAAATAAAAATGAATAGTCTTGTGGTTAATTTTATTTTCACCACAAATTGAGATCTTTAATTTTATTTTGAATGCTATGTTGAGAACAATGAAAAGTACAACTGAAACGATTTAGTGTTTAACTGGCAATGTGGTGCTGAATGTCTGAACCTCTCTTTAGGCTGCAAGTCCCGCATGTACAGAGCTGGAGACTGTGATGCTTGATTGGCTGGGGAAGATGCTGAACCTGCCCCATCAGTTCCTAGCTGGGACCAATGGAGAAGGCGGTGGAGTGTTACAGGTAAGAAAAACCTCATGGTAGTTTGTAATGATACTATTACATGCATACACAATGTCCCATCTGCCTGTTCAGGTAGACAATAAAGATCTGCCGTAGTGCTATTTGAAAAGAGAAGGGAGTTTCTCTCTCCTGATTGACAATCCCCGAAATAAAATTGGTCACTCGCTCGTTTGTGGAACATTGCTGTGCGCAACTGGCTGACCACAAAATACAGCTAATCTACTTTACAGTATATCCTTTGAAGCGCATTGAGGCATCTCAATGACATGATAAGGTGCTGTATCAAACACAAGAATTATTATATACACTACTTTATTTGTTTAAATATGCAATGTGTAGCATTGAATTTTTTTGTATATAAAGGCAATCTAAAGCCTTAACCAATAGGGTGGTCCTAGCTGGAAAAGCAATGGGAAGCTTGCCAGACAGTATTCAGAATGAGGTTTTAGTTGATTACTCCCAATGCACACTCTGGGATCCACAAGCTTTGGCCAACCTGGGGTTAATACTCTCCAGAATTAGATAAGCAGGGTGCTTCCCTCTAAACAAAAACTGCATTCTATTCCAGACACAAGGAAATGAGTAGGTGGCATGCATTTATGGAATTCTCAGTCTGGTTTGGACACTCTTTAAACATGATGATGGGTTTCTACAAACACCTGGTTGACCAAAAAATGTCTGTTTACTCTTTTCAGTAAAGGAAATCAATATTATATCAGCTGCTGCATTTAAAGCCAAATAGATGTTATGTTATTAGAACAGCTTAGCTTCTTTCAACATTAGACTTATTCTACAGTCTAATTGACTAATTCATGTACTTTTTCTCAATGTATTACCTTAACACAGTTGATTTGCATAGATTATTTCAGTGTAAATCTACCACCTTAAATTTTGGCAAATTTGAAGATTTACATTAAATTTACATTAATCTCTAGCAAAATAAGACATAATTTATTCAGTCCATCAGTAACCTGGGTGTCCTCATATCATCCGAATAAACCTGCATTGCAGCCTTTCCAGTGCTGCTATATTCTTCTTGTAGTGTGCCAACCAGAATTGGATGCTATAGTCTAAATGTAGTCGAACCAAGGTTTTATACTCTATCCTTCTGGATGTAAAGCCCAGGACCCTTGGTAAGCTGTGATGTGTCCTTCCTCATGGGGTATTTTAATTGAACTTTTCTGACTAATTGAAAGATGAATGCATGTCAGACAAAGTCTTCCCTTTGGTGCAGAATTCTGGTTAATTGGGATAGTTTTACTGTAAATTGAACTACAGTGCCGTCTGTTATACCTACCTTATGGTTCGTATACCCTCACTGTGCTGCTTGCCCCTCTTCTAGGCAAACTCGGGTTTGCTGCGTGTTCCCACCCCATTATCAGTGGCGGTGCCTCAGCCACTATGCCCCACTCGTTGGAATTCTATCACTCAAGCCCCTGTTTCTTCCTCGCTTGATATATCTTCAAAAGCCGCTTAAAACCTAGTTCTTTGACTGTGGGAACCATCTCTGTAATAAAGCGCAGTCTCTGTGATCAAGCACTCCAGTCACTGGTTCAATGGTACCACTTTCGCCTCTGAGTCAGAAGGTTGTGGGTTCAATCTCCATACCTAGACTTGAACTTGAATAGTCTAAGCTGACACTGCAATGTTGGCCTGGGGGTGTTTTGCATTGTCGTGGGTACAGTCCTTCGGACAAGGTCCTGTCTGCCCATTCAAATGAACGTTAAAAATCCCATGCCATTATTCAAAAAGAGAAGGGAGTTTCTCCCAGCGTCCTGGCCAACAATCATCCAAATAAAATTGGTCATTCATTTCATGGCGGTTTGTGAAACATTGTTGTGTGCAATTCGGCCGCATCATTCACCTACAAAATACAGTTGATCTACTTCACAATAAATCTTGTGAAGCCTGAACCTATACATTTTTGACCCAGAAGCAAGCATCCTTGGCCACTAAGCCTAGCTAATTAATATGTAATAAGATGGTTGTTTTGCATTCCCCAAATGGCTTCTGGAAATAGTGGTAAAACCAGTGCAGTACTGGAACAGTGTGGAGCAGTTGAATTAGTGATGGGCATGTGCTTTACCACGCTGAGGTTTTCCTTTTTCTTGTATAGACTAAGTGGAAAGGAAATCACTTTGTATATTAATCAAGTTTAGGACTTCTATTTGCTTTTGAATAGAAAATCTATGGGATCCAAAAACTTGCTTCATAATTAATAAAGGGCAAGGAGTTTCTCCTGGTGTCTTAGCTAACAACCCCCGGATAGAATAGTTCATTCGCTTCATGCCTGTTTGCGGGATGTTGTTATGTGTAGGTTGGCTGCCGTGTTTGTTTTACCGTAAACCAGGGTGTACAAATTGCATGCTTCTTTGGAGGCAAAGTTCAGTTAAGAACAGGACAGAGAACAAATGCATCTTTTGTTAAGGGCAATAAAAAATTACATTTGTATCTCGCCTTTCACGTCAGGAGGATGTCCCAAGGTGCTGGACAGACACGGAACAAACACATGTTCTGTCTTGTAATGATTTTCACTCGTGATAATCATCACATCCCTCATGACCCCCACCCTTCCCCATCATTGCCAAGAATTGATCTTGCAAAATGACTATTCTGTTGTTTGGGGAAAGTGGTTCAAGTGTTTGATTTTCAAGTCTTTAGCTGAGTACGTGAATTGTTTGCTAATTTCCTTGTGAGTCACACGCAGTTAAAGCAAACTCAGATAATGGAACTTTTGCTACAGTGATTAAAATGTATTTCTTTTGAGTAGGAAAGGCAATATCCGTTAGAAAATGGTGACATTTATTTTGAAAGCCCAGAGCCGAAACTTCACAGCATGTGAGGCATTCAGCCTCATTATTTGATCTTTATCTGCTGCCAGCACAATTTTCTTTCTCAGAACCCTGTGATTACTTGCCATTTTATTGAGCACAAAATTATTTGATGCTCGTGAAAGCAAACACGTTCTCGAAACTATATGAGATCTGTAGAGCTCTTAGTGACATTGATTTCCTGAATGCTACGAGCGGTGTGAATTCAATTTTGTGGTGACGTGCAATTTTAATATCAGCAAAGCATGCCTCTGAATGTTATTTGGTCATCTGTCATGCCTTTATCACCTGGTGCTGAACAGACACAATATATTGGGACCAGTGATTGAAACAGCACGAAGATGAAAGGAAAATGCAGCTGGAGATTTCTGATGAGTGAGAGGATCTACGTCAGCTTTCACAAATTTTCTTTTCTTTTTATGCACAGCTCTCCATGGCAACAAGTGCCTGCATTGTGTCTGCAGTTGAGTAAAGAGTATCTTAGCAATTTGGTATGAGTTTCCTTCTGCACTATCACAGTTTTAAGTAGCTGCGATGGACCCTGTTCTCTGTCACATAGACAATTTTGTCTAGGAGACCACATTTATATCTATAAAACTAGGCTCATGAGTTAGCCAAGCCAAAGCTGGATTGGCACAATGTATTCACACACTTGAAAGAAAGGATAGTAGGCAGTAGGTGTATATCTAGTATAACCACCCCTTTTGACACTAAAGAATTGATATTAAAACTTCATATTAACAATGATACCGAAAGTGTTCCTGAACTGCCTGACATATAACTTTGCGTCAGTTTAACTCTTGATTAGCCAATCGTGTAAGCGGAACCCATAATATTAACAGTCTGCACCTCTGCTGACTCCCATATCTGATCAAAAGAGCTTTGTGAAAAGCAACTAGCTCTACAAATAGGTTTAACCCCTGACCTGTCAAAGAAGCATCATGGACTGAAGGGCACCATCTAAGATATTAAAATGGGTTATTTTATTCTGTGAGGGTTTAAGTCTTAAAAACATAATTAACAAACAATACTAGGTATGTTTAGATTGTATTCTCTAGTGACCTGCTGGTAAATTTACTTTTTAATGTGGTAGATTTATAAAAATAATTATCTTTCCAATTGACAGACCATTTTAATCATATCGTCCAAACCTGTCACCGTAAGTCCTACGAGACATTATTCTGTGTGAAGGATGCTATACAGATGAAAATTGTTGTTGCATCTAATTACTACATGTTTAGCAAAAGCCAATAATGTATTAGGTTTGAATTCACACAAGGTTATGAATAATATTTTTATATTATATATGAATATATGAATGAGGAAAAATATGAATTATTTGTGTAATCAAAGCTAAATTGTGGTTATTTATCATTTGTGAAGTCCTGTAGCTCAGTGGTTAGAGCACTCGCCTCGCAAGTGAGAGCACCTGGGTTCGATTGCCAGGCAGGGTGCAACATTGGGCAAGTTTCCTTAATCCACACGCTCTGTTTACTTAGCAGTAAGTAGGAACCTGGTTGTTAGTCAATTAGCAGATCACTTTTCTGCGAGCAATAATCCCTTCAAAATAAATAAATAAAAATAATAAATTGATCTCTCAATCCACGACTGTTTGTGGGACATTGCTGTGCACAATTGCTGCTGTGTTTTGCCCACAAAAAATACAGTCAATTCACTTTACATTGTATGCTGTGAAGCGCTTTGAGACGCCTTGATGAAGTGTTAAGATGCTATATCAAATGTAAGGATGATTATCATTTGCTCAGTCCACAGCCAGTGAGGCGACCCTGGTGGGACTCCTTGCTGCAAGAAGAAAGAAGGTTTTACACATCCAGGCAGATACGCCTGATCTTGAAGAGAGGATGATCATGACAAAACTGGTTGCCTACATGTCAGATCAGGTAAGCCTTGTTGCCTTCCTTCTTTAAACCAACCTCTGTCCATGTGAATGTTCAGGACTAGAAAAGATCATTATCGATAGATCACTTTGAGATCAATAGATTTTTATTAAAAAAACTAAAGTGTTTAAGGGATATGGGGATAGGGCGGGTAAATGGAATTAGGTTAGTAGATCAGCCATGATCTTAAATGGCGGGGCAGGCTCGAGGGGCTGAATGGCCTATTCCTGCTCCTAGTTCTTATGTTCTATCTGTGCTGTTAATCTGTAGCTGTCTTTGAAAGTGGAATTTCTTCATGAACCATTGAGGGGGTTCTTTTGGGTGAACCCCTCATTTTTATTTTAGATGCTGCAACTTTTCACCTACAAATACAGTCACCACACCTCACAGTAACTCCTGTGAAGTGCTTTAAGACATATTGAAGCCGTGATAAGGTGCTATATCAAATGCAAATTGGGAGTAGTTTGCAAGAAGAGTGACTGCAATTCTGCACTCTCCCCATAGAGTGGTTAGCAAATGTGAATTGGTATGACGTGTACATCACAAATGTTAATCTTTTGTGTTACCAATAATAACAGAGTTTAAACTCCATGGTAAAGCATTCTCAAGATGACCGTGATTCAGCAAAGTAATCTGTAAGGATAAATGCACCTCACTACAACAACTTTTTACTGAGAGACAGATAATCATGACTGGCAGCAGCTGAAGTTAACGTTTTACTCAAAGGAACATGTACCCTATCCTCACCTTTTTCTATCTGCCTTTAAAAGCCTCCTGAAAACCTTCCTCTTTAACTCTGCTTACTGTCACCTTGCCCTATCCTTTCTGTTGGCCAATACCAAGTGAAAGTCACTATGTAGCAATTTGTTTGTTGATAAGGCCTAGTATCAAAGGAAAGGATTTTATTATCTCAAGTACGATAACAAAGCTTGAAAGAACTTAGTTCACCCCACTGTATAATTTTACGTGCTTTTGATTACTTTCATTTTTGGCTCTTATTTATTATATTTTCTTCTTGTTTTGGATGTTCATACACAGTAAACAGTTAACATGATGTGTTTAGAAAGGGATGGCCCCCATTAGGCTCCAGCATGAGTTTGCTAACTTAAAAAATTGGTCACTCAATCTACGACTGTTTGTGGGATACTGCTGTGCTCAATTGGCTGCCATGTTTTGCTCACAAAAAGGTCAATGTAATTTATAGTATATTCAGGGAAGCACTTAACATGTTTCAATGGCGCGATAAGGCGCTATATTATTATTAGCCATGATAGTTTAGTAACTTCAGAATGGCCTGATTTTCTCAACTGAATAGCAATAACTTGTATTTATATAGTGCCCTTCCCACAGGATAGGGTCTTGGAGCACTGCGCAATGGTAGGGTTCACACCAAGTGAGGGAGGGGGGAGACAGGAAAGTGATGACTATAGGCAGGCTTGAAGAGAAGTTTTCAGCAGGGATTTAAACATAGATAGAGGGGGGATTGAGGCAGGGAATTCCAGAGATTAGGGGTGTAATGGCTGAAGGCATGGCCACTGATTATTTATAAATGTTTTTTTCACTGTGCATCTTATTAGCTTTACATACCGTTTTATAGATGACTAGCCTGTGTTTGTTCTTCTACATGGGGGAGGCAGGAGATAATAAATAATAATTCTGACATTTCAATGAGGACCAAGGAGGAAATCTTATTGTGGAGGCAGAGGGCATGGCTGATGTACTGAATGAGTACTTTGCATCTGTCTTCACAAAAGAAGTGGATGCACCAAATGCCGCAGTATCGGAGGAGAGGGTAGAGGAAATGGATAGGATCAGTATAAACAGAGGAATTACTGAAAAGGTTGACTGCGCTGAAGGTAGATAAGTCGTCCGGACGGGATGCAACTAAGGTTACTGTGGGAGGCACAGGTACAAAATAGCGGAGGCTTTGGTTACAATTTTTCAATCTTTGTTGGACACAGGAGTGGTGCCAGAGGACTGGAGAGTGGCCAATGTGACTCCTCTGTACAAAAAGGAACAGAAGGACAAACCTGGGAACTACAGGCCAGTCAGCCTAACATCAGTAGTGGGGAAACTCCTGGAGACTATAGTCCGGGATAGAATAAATCTTCACTTAGAAGAATATGGGTTAATTAGGGACAGCCAGCACGGATTTGTTAAAGGCAAATCTTGTCTAACAAATCTAATAGAATTTTTCGATGAGGTAACGGAGAGGGTGGATAAAGGTAGTGCAGTTGATGTAGTTTATATGGACTTTCAAAAGGCATTTGACAAAGTGCCACATGAAAGACTTGTAAGAAAGATAGAAGCCCATGGTATAAAAGGGACAGTGGCAGCATGGATCCAGAACTGGCTGGGAGACAGAAAGCAGAGAGTTGTGGTGAACGGCTGCTTTTCTGACTGGAGGGAAGTGTACAGTGGCATTCCCCAGGGATTGATATTAGGACCACTGCTCTTCTTAATATACATAAATGATCTGGACTTGGGTATAGCAAGCACCATTTCCAAGTTTGCGGACGACACAAAGTTAGGTAGGGTGGTAAACAGTGAGAAGGATAGTAGCCAACTGCAGGAAGACATAGACAAAATGGGCAGACACATGGCAGATGAATTTCAATATGGAGAAATGCGAGGTAATGCATATTGGTAGAAAGAATGAGGGGAGGCAATATAGGTTAGGTAATACAATCTTAAGGGGGTAAAAGAACAGAGAGACCTGGGGTGCAGGTAAATGAATCCTTGAAGGTGGCAGGACAGGTAGATAAAGCTGTAAAAAGGGCAAATGGGATTCTAGGCTTTATAAATAGGGGCATAGAGTACAAGAGTCAGGAGGTTATGATTAACCTATATAAAGCACTGGTTAGGCCTCAGTTAGAATACTGCGCCCAGTTCTGGGCACCACACTATAGGAAGGATGTTAAGGCATTGGAAAGGGTGCAGAGGAGATTTACAAGGATGGTACCAGGAATGAGGGACCTTGATTATGAGGAAAGGCTGGAGAGGCTGGGATTATTCTCATTGGAGCAGAGAAGGTTACGAGGAGACCTAATAGAGGTCTTCAAAATCATGAGGGGATTTGATAGGTTAGAAAGGGAAAAACTGTTTCCACTGGTGGGTGTGTCGGTGACTTGAGGTCACAGATTCAAAATAGCCTCTAAAAGAAGCAGAGGGGAGGTGAGAAGACATTTTTTCCACGCAGCGAGTTGTTCAAATCTGGAACGCATTGCCTGAAAGGGTGGTCGAGGCCGATTCGATAATAACTTTTAAAAACACGGTGGACGGGTATTTGAGGAGGACGGGTTTGCAGGGTTATGGGGAAAGGGCTGGGGAGTGGGATTGACATTGCATTGCTCTATTCAAAGAGCCGGCACAGACTCGATGGGCCGAATGGCCTCTTTTTGTGCTGTACAATTCTATGAACAAACAAATCCACAGACTTACACAGCTGCAAATATTGAAATAAATTGTGAGAAATGGTTATTTAATTTCAGTAACCAAAATTGATAGATATTATATAATAATGCATCAGTTAGCCCGTGGTGAGTGATGGGCTGTCACTATACAAGTATCAGACCTCAAAACGTTAATATTAACCAGAATTTCAGTAGAAATATGTTTCTAGAAATATTCTCAATAGTTTCCAGTGACATTAAATAAATAGCATCGAAACAAGCCATTTGGCCCAACTAGTCCATGTGAGTGATTAGACTCCACATGGGCCTCTATTCTCTTTTCCCTCATGCATGCTTCAAGTTTTACATAGAATGTGATATTCAATGTGAAACATTCCTACTAAACTCACTTTCAGATCTGCTTCTAGCTATCTTATATTTGGGCCCTTTAGTTTATGCATTCTACCTATACTTGGAAATTTGAGAGATAGATTGTCAGAATTAAACTATTGACACAATGACTCGAAAATCTCAGCTGGAAAATCCAATGTTACATTTATCAGTGGCAGTTACTGGAGTAACCTAGTTATTTGAATTATTGATGTAAGATAATATTATTGATGGCGAAGACAAAATAAATGTTTGCATTTGGCTAATATTAATCTGACACACAACATAATTCTGTCTCTTGATCAGCATATGTCACAACATCCATTACAGGAGGTTCATTTTGTTCAAAGGATTCAGTCACCTCTGTTGGTAATTGCATTACATTGATCTGTGACTGTCATACTTGCTGCTGAAGAGCTGAAGTAATGCAAAGTGACAGCACTCCATATGTAGCATAGGTCAGAGAATATCCTGGCTGTTGGAGGATTTGCCTTAAGTCACTAGTAACCTTTCCAGTCTTGACAGTGAAGAATATGCCCACAATGTGAACAAAACCACTAAGGAAACAAATGCATTGCGCCCTGGTTTCTCATTTAAAGAAAAGATGCATTCACTAACATTGGGAACATCTTCAAACAAAATTGGTCGAGTAAATGGAAAACAAAGCCAAATCCATTAGACCAGAAGAGCACCATTTAGAGCAATTTGTCCGACTAGATCTGATTAATTCTGTTTCTTTCCCCACTTTTTTTGCCTCCAACCCTTCTTTGCTGAAAAATGTGGCTTGGGCTGTGTACAGTCCTGTAGACATCAAGTTATTTGGTATCTTACCCAAGTGGTCATTCTTCAGATGTGGACCTGGAAAATGAGTGTCATCAGGCTATAGAATCACAGAGGACATTAGTTTGATTGAATCTTTTCTCACCTGATATATACACACACACAGTCAACACAGTCATTGGTTCATGATCAGAAGCTTCAACCCTGGTTGATTATTCCCTCCATAGCACAGGATTGCTAAGATCAAGTGTAGTTCCCCTGTGAGTTAATTCAATAGAGACAGCAGATGGAACCTGGTACCTATGCCTAAGGTATATGGGCTGAAGGTTTCACACTGTGATTTTTAGCAAATGAGCCATTAGAGAACTGAACCTAATTATTTTAAATCACAATAGAAAACAAGGGCAGCGGGACCCTCAAGACACCGTTATTGTCCCCAATAAATCCCAGAGGAAAGTGAGTGGGTACAGAGAAACACAATCAAAAATAATTTTTTTGGTTAAACATTAACAATATGTGAGAAAATTGTTAGTTCAACTGATAGTTAGATTTTAATTGTATTTTAGTGTGTGGAAAATTTTTCGCAACAACCATTTGCAGCAGATAAATAGCTTTGGGGTTAACAATCTGTCTTGGAGAATGTTTACTCAGTGTAACATGATCAGATCATCATTATCTTTCCTGATAAAATGGCCTTTAAATGTAACTTCCTTAAGGGTTTCAGTATTTTTGGTCTTTGTGCATTTGTGTCAGCCTGGCTCAGTTGGTAGCACGTATGCTTTTGAGTTAAAAGCTTGTGGGCTGAAGCCCTATGTCAGGACTTTGAGCTTGGGCTGAGTGCTGCATTGTTAGAGGTACTATTCTTAGACGAGATGTTAAACTGTTCAGGTGGATGCTTCAAGTACTCTGAGGTGAACAGCGCTATATAAATGCATATTGTTGTTGTTCACTGCCTCTAATACTCGCTTTTAATGATAACAGGATGTTAAAATCACAATTTACCATTCATTGCTAGTATCTGTAGTTGCTGCATGGAAAATCATTACTATTGTATTTTGTTTAAAATCTGACCACAAATCAGAGTTTAGTCTGAATGCTAAACTGCGTCATGGAGATGTTATTTGTTATCTGTGTGACTGTACCAACTACTTGTTGCATTAGCATAGTTTGTCTAGATAATATTTGTAGGTAAGTATCTAATATGTAATCGATTCAAACTTCAGCAATCTGAGAAGAATTTAATTGTGAGAGATCCCTTCACGGAATAGTTGGGCCAAAGGACCTGTTTCTAGTGTTGTATCCCTCTAAATAAATGGCTTTACTTTTCTAAACTGTAGCACATGTATTTTTAGCTTTGCAATATAAAAATATTGTCTAAGCTTTTCACTTAGAATAATTCTAAATCCCATTTTGGAGGAGTGCTGTAGCTCAGTGGTTAGAGCACTAGCCTCGCAAGTGAAAGACTTGGGTTTGATTCCTAACAGGGAGAAACCTTGGGCAAGGTTCCTAACTCCACACGACTGTTATTAATCCCTCAAGGAAAAAAAAACCATTAATAAATTGGTCACTTCAATCTACGACTGTTTGTGGGACACTGTTGTGCGCAATTGGCTGCTGTGTTTCGTCCACAAATAAACAGTCAATTCACTTTATAGTATATTCTGTGAAGCGCTTTGAGACATCTAGAAGACGTGAGAAGTGCTATATCAAATGCAAGGATTATTATTGTTAATATTGCCATTTACTGAGAACGCTGAACTGAGTTGAATTGCATGATAAAAATGTGGCATGTACATGCATGCAACTAAGCCTACCTGCGTTTATTTTCCATCTACTCCAATTCTAGACACATCATATGTACATAACAAATTCAGGAATCCCATTTGAAATCAACATGTTTTGGAACCCATTGAAACTTGATGCACAGTTTATGTTTCAGTGGGTCCATTCTTTATTGGACCGGCCATACTCTCCATGTTGTCGTATTTCCTGAGCACATTTTTGTGGGTCAGTATTACTCAGATTTCATTAGCGTTTGGCCCCTAGAGCGACATGTGCAATAGGCAATATTAAATTCCTCTTCGATGCGATGAGAACAGAATGGAAAAATATGAAGGAACCCAATTTAGATTATTTGTGAGTCACAATGATTTAAAGTGTTAAATCTCTGTTGTCAGTAAATTTAAATTAAACTTCATATAGTATTTTGTGGAAACAATTGATTCAATTCATTGGTATTTTACAATGAATGTGGCAGAGGCAGATCTTGTGAGTCAGCCTCACTCTCACCTCTGAGTCAGGAAATTGTCGGTTCAAGCCCCACATTGGGTCTTGCAATTCACATAGTTTACACTCCAGGGCAGTCCATACTGGTAGTGCGTTACATTTTCAGAGGTGCTGTCCTTCAGATGAGATGCTTCTGTGAAGCGCTTTGAGATGTCTTGAAGACATAAGGCTATATATGAAATATAAGGATTATTATTATGTTAAACCAGGTCCTACTAGCTGTTCCGGTTGATGTTAACAATCCCATGGTACTATTCAAAAAGAATAGTATTTGCATACATACTATAGATGTATACGATAGATGCATTGTATAAAAATGCAAGTTGTAGTAAGTGCCAGAAGAAGGCACAATCCACGAGTGGAAAATCCTGCTTCTTGCATGGCATCGGGAATGATACCTTACAGCTCCCCAATGGCACATCGAATGTGATAAATCTTGAATGTACTACTAGGGTGGCTTCAGGGGAATGGAAAAGAATCGTACTTGAATGTTTTTTAAATCTTGTTTGTGAATTTAAAGAGGTTATTGCTGGGTAACCATTTGAATCTGGAAGTGGTTCTCAATGATTTCTGGTGCAGATATCAAATTGATACACATCCAGATCCTCAGGGACTGGCTGGTTATGTCTCCAATAAGCCAGTCCCTGAGGATTGATCAGATCAACTAATGGTATAGTCTGAGAAGTGTAGATATTTCTGAAACTTGGAAATTATTTAGCCCAAATGTTTACCAAAAGAGTCTAAAAAATGTGGCAGGTTCATGTGTTTAATAGATGAGTTATAGCTGTAGCATTCCTTTCAATGTTTTTCTCTAGCAAACAATGTTCATTCTTTAACCGGACTGTGTGGTATCTTTAGTCTCACAGCTCTGTTGAACGAGCAGGATTGATTGGAGGAATAACAATGAGAAAGTTGCCCTCTGACAGCCAGCTCAGCCTGCGGGGAGAGACCCTGAAACAAGCAATAGAAGAAGATAAAGCTGCTGGTCTGATTCCTTTCTTCGTAAGTCCGTTTTCTGTTACTCTTACTGCGGTTTTCTCATTGTATTGTAATGTTATTTTAGTTATTTTCTCACATTGGGGTTTTTGTAGGCTCCCATCGCCTCTGACCTGCTCCCACATCTGTGCCAATGATGCTCTGACCCAGCCTCCAGTCTAGACACACAAGGGAGCAGCCCAGAGAAACTCTCCATTGGACCAAGTCCTGATGCTTCAAAACACTAAGCCACATTGTGCCCACAAAATATACAGTCAGTTCACTTTCAATGTATTCGGTGAAGGCTTTGAGTTGTCTCGAAGACGTGATAAGGCACTATATCAAATGCAAGGATGTTATGTGTAGGATGTTATTTGTGTTGTGTTGTACAGTGCAAAACGATTTACATCAATATAACATCTTTCACACCAGGAGAATGTCTCGAACACTATTGGCTGGATATCAGAGCTGGGGGTGGGAGCTGAAGGGTTGCTGTTAACTATAAAAAAAATATGGTTAAATACAAGTTAAAACTTTGGGCTTCAGTATGCCACTTTTCACTGCCCTTCAATCTGGATAAAATGGCAGCTTGGATCTAGCAGTTTAGCAGTCGTTGCCTTCTTCCCCAATATGAAACTTTCAATGGCCAATTTAATTTGCAAGATGCTACAAATAACACACCAACTTCAAACATTATCAGCATCAGAGCTGTATAATAAAATAAAGCTGCTTGTTATTTTAACACCATCTGTGCCTTGACCTTAACTCGAGGTGCACATTAAAATATATTCTGCTTTCAATTACCAACTGTAAGTAGTAATTTGTAAAAGATAATTGCAGATGTTTAGAGCAGTGCATTACGCCTGCATATTGCACTAAACTGACACAGATGAAAGCACTGCATATTGCTCTCAAATATTATGAATGATATTACCAAAATCCATTTAGTTTGATTTTTTTCTTCAACTGGAAGTTTGTTTTGAAAGTGTGACTTAAACCTTAGTGACTAAATAGCAGTCAGACAGTTCCCAAATGATTTTGGTCTCTTTTTCTTGACTATTTAAGGTTCTTTGTTTAGGTTCATTGAATTTGTAGAGATGTCTGCTCTGTTTGTGTAAGTAACACATGGCCACAGAGATTAAACTAATCTAATTATCCCACTGCTTGCTTCAGCCTACGGGTGTAATATGTTTCTGGCCATTTGTAAGCAGTAAAGAAAATGCAATAAAGTATTAATAAATATGGGACTATTCTAAAGAGAGGGAGCTGTTTTGATGTTAGTTCCAAACAAGCTAGACAGCGGATGTTATCTGAAACGCACACAGAGCCTGTAATATAACAGACTTTGTGTTTCTTCTCACTGTTTTTAGATCTTTTTGAATGTTCATTTGCATATTCTAAATTGTGAATCTTAGTTATTAAATAGCTATAGACTATTGAATAGCTATTCAAATTAAATTATAATATTCTATAGATTTTTTGTGGTTATGGTGCGATCAAAGATTATGCACTAATCATAGTGAAGGTATGCAACATATGTTAATATGCCTCATTAAACAACAACAACTTGTATTTATATAGTGCCCTCCACGCCAGGCGGCATCTCAGAGTGCTTAACAATGGCAGAGCCTGATGCCGAGCCAAGGGGAGGGGAAGGTGACCGTAGGTGGGTCGAAGAGGAAGGTCTTCAGATGCAACCTGAAGTTGGGGAAGGAGGGGACGAGGCGAAGGGGCTGAGAGAGGGAGCTCCAAAATTTCGGGGCGAAGCAGCTGAAGGCATGGCCTCCGATGGTGGAGCGGAGGATTCGGGGAATGCAGAGGAGGCCGGACCCAGTAGAGCGGAGGCAGCGGGTACTGAGGAGGTTAGAGAGATAGGGGGGTGCAACAAGGTTGAACCAAAAACGCCTTCCATCCATTTCTGATGGAACTGATGTCTTGCCTGACTGTTCAGGTTAAACAGCCCATATCCTTCAGAAAGGGAAGGGAGTTTATGGATGTCCTGGATAACAATCTTTCAAATAAAATGGAATTTAAAAAAAAAGAAACACAACTTCAGCATGCTGCAGCATAGCTTTACACAGTTAATATAAAACCAACAAGCTGAGAATTGGTTTCCACTTTGCATCTTCGATTAAGGGAAAAGAATGATGTTTCTCAGGTCAGGGCATCAGTTGGGTAAGAGTAAATTTCTCAATTTTTCTTTTGCCCATAAGATTCAAAATCAACCAAATTAGTGGCAGAAGATTGGTTCGACTCTTGCGTGCCTGACTTATCTAACTTACACAATTTGTTTGTGCGGATAACTGATCTTGAGCAGGTTCACCCGTTCCCCTATAGTTTGGCTAACGCAAGATTTAGATACCAAGCTCCCCCAGGATTTCTGGGGTGAGCTTAGTGTGTTCAATTGGCTGATGTGTTGTCTCAACTTTTGTGTAAAACCTATGGGCTGATAGGATCACTATCACGGATCCCTATCACAGTCTGTTCCCTCAAATATCCCATACATTCCTCTGGTGTGTCTTCATCTACACCTGTACTAGAAGACCTCTCAGCAGCAGTGAGGAGGTGTTAAGTGAGTCCCTCATCATGAGACGGTGCAGAGGAATGTGCTGATCAGGAGGTTCATCCTGCTCATCTGTCTGGATCATGTCACCAGAGTCTACATCGCGACGAGTTGAATTATACAGAGGATTTTATAATCAAGATGCGTGGGACTGCTCTGTTGTAATGAAAAGTTCAGATCCAGAATTTAATAAATACAATGATTCCTTCTGATGAACTAATAGTTTTCAGCCATTCTGCCTGTCCCTGAGTCCCTCTGACTCGCTGTCCCCTTCCCATTTTTAAAGCCTGCCTCAAGTCTTATCTCTTTGACCTGATTTTTTCCAATGCCATTGGCATTCACCTTGCCTACTGTGATCATCTCAAGGGAAGCAAGATTGAAAGTGGCAATAGTGGGAGATTACATGTATATCTGAACACGTACACTTTCAGTGCACACTTATCGCCAATGGAGTTTGATTGTTTCCCGACTGTAATATTGTCATGTAAATTTTATGAAAAAACAATAGGCTTACAGTTCCTTTAACTTGAACTATATGTCTATTGTTTCTTCATAACTGTAGTTCAGTGGTTAGAGAACTTGCCTCGCAAGCGAGTGACCTGGGTTTGATTCCTGGCAGAGTGAAACCTTGGGCAAGTTTCCTTACTCCACACGCCTGATAATAGTCCCTCAAGAAAAAAAACAAAAAACAATAAATTGGTCACTTCAATCCACGACTGTTTGTGGGACTGTGCGGAATTGGCTGTCGTGTTTTGCCCATAAAATATGCAGTCAATTCAGTTTACAGTATATTCTGTGAAGCGCTTTGAAACATCTAGAAGACGTGAAAAGAGCTATATCAAATGCAAAGAATATTATTATAATATTATAACTTGTCCTGAGGACCACGTTGAATTTACCCTCTTCTGTTTTAATCACCTCTCAGTTTCCTATTGCAGCATTAAACACCCTGGAAATATCAATGCAATCAAAAAAAGTTCCCAAGGATTCACTAAAAATAATCCATATGCTACCTGGGAATCCTGTGGTAACTGGCAGAGAGAGAATTCTACAATCCAAGGGCCAGTTTTCTGATTGGCTCTATCGACCGCTCTCCTTTCATTGACTATCTTTTCTCTTTCTATCTACAGTTGTGTGCGACACTGGGCACCACCGCTTCCTGTGCATTTGATTCGATTTTGGAGCTAGGACCGATCTGTAAGAATTTTATTTAAATCCTTGTTGGCATAAAATCACATTATACTATCCAATTTACATTGATATGGCTCCTTTTGCATTAGAGGACTTTCCAAAGCACATTTGGTTCTGGGAGGGCACCTGAGCTGGGGTTTGAAGCCAAGGGGGCTATATAAACGTTTTGAGACATGCCTTGAAAAAGGGGAGAGAGTGAGCGAGTCGGAGGGGTTTCCAGAGATGACTGGGCAGAATGACTGAAAAGCTGACTGCCAATGGTGAGGCAGATAGGGTGGGGTACACAAAATTTGCTGAGCAAAGGGAACAGCTGGGTTGGTAGGGTTGAAGGAGGTCACAAAGGTAGGGTGGGACAAGACCAGGGAGGGATTTAAAAGTAAGAATGAGGATCTTGAACTGAATGTGTGGCTACTGAAGCCAAACAAGGATGGGGATCAGCTCACAGCAACACAGGCTGCAGAGTTCTGGATAGTCTGCAGTTTGTGTAGAGAAGAGCTGGGGAGTCTAGCGAGCAGAGCGTTAGCAAAGTCGAGTGATGAAACCAAGCTGGGAGCCAAGTTGAATTCTCACTTAGCAGTGGCCTCTGCAAATTGTCTTTCTGAGCTCATTCAGGAGATAGTGGCTGAAATCAATTTGACTTAACTCAGTGCGAGTTTAGGCCATTTAGATGTGTTAAGTATAATAATATAATAATCCTTGCATTTGATATAGCGCTTTTCACGTCTTATCGACGTCTCAAAGTGCTTCACAGAATATACTGTAAAGTGAATTGACTGTACATTTTTGTGGGTGAAACATGCTCAATATAAATGCAGGGTCATTATAGTTTTGTAAATGTTTTCCTTTTCCGCCAAAAAGACTTTGCTGTAGAAGGATCAAACAATATTTTACCACTGACTCTATCTCTTCCTGATATTCCAGGTAATTCTGAAAAAGTCTGGATGCACATTGATGCTGCTTATGCAGGAAGTGCTTTTATTTGCCCAGAATTCAGACCTTTATTAAACGGTGTCGAGGTAAGAAAAACAAACAACCTTTAATAAGATGGATGGTAAGGATTCAAAACCTCACCCAACATGATGTTCTTGAGAGAGGTGAACAATGATATCTTGGGATATCTTAGGGGCAGTATAAAGGCCATAAAGAACGAGCACAAATATAAACAGCATTGCAATGGAACATATGGTTGTAAAAACAATAAAGGACCATTTCAATTAGTTTTGCTGGTTCCAAAGTAAAACAGAAGTCATGTGCTATGTCATTTCTCATAGCTTTAATCAATTTCTTTGTTAAACAGATGTATGTAGCCATAGTCAGCAATTACTTGGTGATAAAAAAAATTCTCCCCATCCCCCTCTGGTTCTTATGCCAATTATCTTGAATCTTTGTCCCCTGGTTACCAATCCACTTGCCAGTGGAAACAGTTTCTCCCTATCGACTCTATCAAAATCCCTTATAATTTTGAATACCTCTATTAAATCTCTGAACAATCCCAGATTCTCTTGTCTCCACATAACTGAAGTCCCTCATCCCTGATACTATTCTGGTAAATCTTCTCTGCACCCTCTCAAAGGCGTTGATATCCTGCCTCCAGTGTGGTGCCCAAAATTGGACGCAATACTCCAGCTGAGGCCTAACCAGTGACTTTTAGAGGTTTAGCAGAATTCCTTGCTCTTGTACTCAATGCTGTTTATAAAGCCAAGGATTCTATATGCTTTTTTAACCACTTTATCAACCTGTCTTGCCACCTTCAAAGACCTGTATATATGAACCCCCAAGTCTATCTTTTGTTGCTAAAACTCAAAGGGATTTCACCCCTTTTTGTTTATGGGACGTTATTGTCTGCATATTGACTGCCACGTTCGCCTACAAAATACAGTCACTTCATTTTGTAGTATATCTAGTGAAGCACTTTGAGATGGCTTCCCAACATGAAAGGTACTATTACCAATGCAATGATTATTTTTTAGTCATAGGAACTGAGAAATGGAGGAATATGCAATATTGGAAAAAGCATTACAGTCTGGGTCCATTTTCAACTGTTTCTACAAATATACAGTTACTACACTTCACAGTTAAATCATGTGATGTGCTTTGAGACATCTCGATGGCATCATAAAGCATTATAGCAGATGCAAGGATTATTATTAATAACTATTATCTCTCCCTATCCACACATCACCATAAAAACATTATCCTATTTTTTCTTGAAACTTAGCCATAGTATTCTGCCTCCACCTTTCACTTCAACTGTAGCACTTTTCCGGTGAATATTGTTCGGCTGAGGCAACGAATGAGGTTAAAGTTAGAATAAAGCATTTGTCATCAGACGTTCTATTGGAACAGTGATGAATGCCAAGATGTCCTAACCTTCAAATCAGCAAAATAGTAGGGTTTACCGCATCATTCAGGTATTGCCATGGAAATATCCACATTACTTGCATTTCCTTTGAGTAACTGTGGCGTGCTGCTATTGATTCTTTGTGAAACCCCTCAGGAAATAATGAGGAAATAAATTGTCAATCAAGAGACAAGCACTATCCTTAAACTATCAGCATGCCACACCAATGAAAGGTCACATGGTAAGCAGACATTCAGGAGATTGTGGAAACAATGTAAATAGATAAATTAAATCTAGTACAACATTTATTAGCTATTGAGGATATTAATCTGGACAAGTGGCCCATTTGTCAGCATAGCAACGATTCATCAACATTCAATGGACTTCAAACCCCAAAGGCTTTACTTCCCCTGTGGCTTCCGATGTATGCACTACATATAAAGAGGCAATTCAGACTCCTTTTGGGTGATAAGATGAGGTTTTGCTTTGTGAGATAGCAAAGAAACAACTTGTCTGCAAAAAGGAATGGACCCAAGTGTGATTTTGCTGACATTGGCTGTTTGATGATACATTTCCTGCCTTCCTCTGCAACCCTGCCGGCTGTCACCTCCCTCTTCTCCCTGGCTCAGTGTCAAGCTCTAGCATTGTAAAGCACTCTTAGATTTGCCCAGCATGAAGGGTGATGCTATATAAATGCTAGTTGTTGTTGATCTGATGTTGAAGTAGCTCGAGAATAAAATCTCATTTGTTCAGTGAAAAATATCAGTGTAACTGACTCAGGCAGCAGCTGGAGCTGGTTGAACTTAAATTATTATTAGGACTTCTGATTTTTGAATTTAACCCCCGATAAAAGACTCCGAAACAAAAAAGAAATAGCAGCATTTTATAAAAACCCTATAAAATGTTACCTTTCCTGACATAACTGCGCATGAGTGAGGATGCCTCCTCCCTCTGTGTGAGCAGGCACATTTGAATCTTCCATTAACATTAAGTGGAAAACCTTGATTTTTAAAACTAAATAAAGCTAAAAGTAACCCCTAAAAATATTTTTTCTGAAACAATGAGAAACAGAAGCCTATTTATGATGTTAGTTCAAAACTGATTAATACCATGGCTTTGAAGCCTGAAAGGTGCTCACTAAATGTAAATTTGCATTGTACTTTTACAGCATAACTTTCCTATTTGATCTAATTGAGACTATTTTATATTGATGGCCCCTGGTTTTGGTCTTAATAATAATAATAATCCTTGCATTTGATATAGCGCTTTTCACGTCAGGAGGACGTCCCAAAGCGCTTCACAGAACACACTATAGAGTGAATTGACTGTATATTTGTGGGCGAACGCGGCAGCCAATTGCGCACAGCAATGTCCCACCAACAGTCGTAGATTGAAAATGACCAATTTATTATTGTTTTGGTTTTGGAGGGATTATTATTAGGCTCTGTGTGGAGTAAGGAAACTTGCCCAAGGTTTCGCCCTCTGCCTGGAATTGAACTCAGGTCTCTCGCTTGCAAAGCGAGTGCTCTAACCACTGAGCTACAGGTCTTCCCCACAAGTGGAAACATCTTCCCTATGTCTACCCTATCAAAACCTTTCATCATTTTAAAGACCTCTATCAGGTCACCCCTTACCCTCCTCTTTTCAAGAGAAAAGAGTCCAAGTATGTTCAGCCTTTCCTGATAGGTATAACCTCTCAGTTCTGGGATCATCCTTGTGAATCTCCTTTGCTCCCTCTCCAGTGCTTCTACATCCCTTCTATAATGTGGGGACCAGAACTGCACACAGTATTCTAAGTGTAGTCTAACCAGTTTACCATAATGTCCCTGCTTTTCATTTCTATCCCTCTAGAAATGAACCCCAATGTCTGGTTTGCTTTTTTTATGGTCTTATTAACCAGCGTTGCTACTTTTAGTGAATTGTATATGTGTGCCCCTAGATCCCTTTGCTCCTCTACCCCATTGAGGCTTTTATTTTCCAGAATATATGTGACTTCCTTATTCCTTCTACCAAAATCTACCACCTCACACTTCTCTACATTGAAATACATTTGCCATTTAAATGCCCATTCAGCAAGTTTATTAATGTTTTGCTGTAATTTGTTGCAGTCCTCCTCTATATAAACTGCTCCCTCTAACTTGGTGTCATCCGCAAATTTTGAAATTGTACTGCTGATTCCGGAGTCTAAATCATTAAATATATATTGTGAACAGCAGTGATCCCAATACCGATCTTGTGGAACACCACTGCCCATCCCCTGCCAGTCTGAGTAGCTACCCTTCACCCCTACTCCGTTTTCTGTTTTGCAGTCAGCTTGCTACCCATTCTGCTATTTTTCTCCTGACCCCGCATGCTCTGACTTTATTCATTAGTCTATTATTTGGTACCTTATCGAACGCCTTTTGGAAATTTAAAAATATTACATATTGCATTATATTGTCTCCTCTTTCTGTTACCCCTTCAAAGAATTCAATGAGGTTGGTCAAGCATGACCTTCCTTTTTGAAATCCGTGCCGACTATTCTTTATCATGTTTTCCGTTTCTAGATGTTTTTCGATTACCTCCTTCAGTAAAGATTCCATTATCTTTCCTACCACCGATGTTAAGCTGACAGGTCTATAGTTCCCTGGGCTTGTTCTGTCTCCCTTTTTAAATATAGGTATAACATTAGCTATCCTCCAGTCCTCTGGCACTACTCCCTTTTCTAATGAGTTATTATATATGTGTAATAGTGCCTCTGCTGTCTCGTCCCTCAATTCTTTTATTATACGTGGATGCAATCCATCTGGACCAGGGGTTTTATCCTCTCTGAGTTTTGTTAGTTTTTCGATTATATCTCCCCTATGTATTTATATTATTTTTTATCTCTTCTTCTACTGTCATGTCCACCTGATCTGTATCCCTGGTGAATACTGAGGCAAAGTAATTATTTAATATTTCTGCCAATTCGCTGTTGTGGCCTGTGAGCTTATCTTGTCCATCCCTTAGTGGTCCTATTTTGATTTTTCTTTTGTTATTTATGTCTGTAGAATATTTTACTATTTCTTTTTATATTCCTTGATAATTTAATTTCATAATTCCTCTTTGCCTTCCTAATTGTTTATTTGACTATTTTCCTGACCTCTTTGTTTCAATGATTCTATAAATGAATGAACATTACTGTGAATTATTTTGGATAAGTACTAAAGGAACAAGTATCATGAGCCTTTGGTGAAAGGTCATGATTTAGTGCAGATATAAAGCAATTGAATGTGACTCTAGGTAATATTTTACGATGTTTTTTTAAATCAGTTTGCAGATTCTTTCAACTTTAACCCTCATAAATGGCTCCTTGTGAACTTTGATTGCTCAGCGATGTGGTAAGTTACTTATATATCTCTTCTACAAAACATTGTGATAATAATAATTCTCAGTGGCATCTGTGAGTTCACTGTCTCTGTGGTGTCAACCTGGCTCAGTTGGTAGTACTCTCAGCTCAGCATCCGAGGTCGTAGGCTCAGATTGGACATCAGGATGTTGATACTGCAATGCAGTACGAGGGGAGTGAAGCACTACATTATCAGTCTGATAGTCATTAGTTATAAACTGGCTAGTTTGCATTTACCAGTGATGATTATCATACATGTCATCACACCTTGTAAATTGCACCTGTTGTTCACCTTGTTAACTGTGAGTCTGACATGTACTGATTCCGACTCCCACTGTGAGGAAATGCTGGACTTCCTCTAGTCCAAAATCGAGGGAATCCGCTCAGCTGCCACTGCCCTCCCAACTTCCACACCCTACTTACGCCCACCCCACACTCCAACCACTACCCATCCCTCCTTCCACACCTTTGAACCTGTCACCCCCTCCTCTGTCTTCACAACTATATCATCCATGAAGCCCACCATCTGCTCCCTGGACCCCATCCCCACCCCTCTCCTTAAATCCCAGCTCCACCTCCTTGCCCCACTACTCTCCGACATCATCAACCTCTCCCTGTCATCTGGCACTGTTCCTACCCCCCTCAAAACAGCCACTATCACCCCCACCTTGAAGAAACCTTTCCTTGACCCATCACAGCCATCCAGCTACCGGCCCATCTCCCACCTCCCTTTTCTGTCTAAGGTCCTTGAGAGAGCCGTTGCCTCCCAGCTTCACTCTTTCCTCTCCTCCCACTGCCTCATCCCTCAGGCTGCCGAAATCCTCACCCACGGATTTGTCATATCAAGACTTGATAACTCCCTCCTCATCGGCCTTCCCAACTCTTCCCTTCACAAGCTGCAGATCATTCAAAACTCTGCAGCTCATGCACCAGGCTCTGTGACCCCATCACTCCCACCCTCGCCCGACTCCACTGGCTCCCCATCCTTCAGAGGATCCAATTCAAGATCCTCGTCCTCACTTTCAAGGCCATCCATGGCCTTGCCCCCTCCTACCTTTCTGACCTGCTGACTCCCTACCAACCTGCCCGCTCCCTCCATTCAGCGGGCTCCAAACTTCCTACTGTTTATTCAACAAGAACCATTTTATTGTTTGGCCAATTATTTGCAGAATTACAACAACAAAATTACATTTGTATCGTGCCTTTCATGTCGGGAGGACAGCCCAAGGTGCTGGACAGTGTTTAGGACCCGAGCTGGGGGGCGGAATTACCAGGAGCTGAGCGGGAACAATTCTGTCTCACCGATTCATCCTAATTTCATGTAGTGTATGAACAAGTATCTTTGATGGCATGTTAGAAATGAAATGTTCAAGTTGTCAATTCCAACTTTCGGGTTGTGAATATTGATCGTCAGATTTATGATGAGATTGCAAAAACAAAAGAGAGCTGCAAGGTAGATTTACAATTAAACTGATTTTGTGCAGCATAAGTTGTGAAGTATAAATTAAGTCATACATGTTTTCATTACATTTAGGGTGAAGAAAAGATCAGACCTTATCGGTGCTTTTAAAGTGGATCCTCTTTACCTTAAACATGAGCATCAGGACTCTGGTACTTTTTCAGATCAATGTTTTTATTGTTTATATTTTGTGGAATTGATTTATATTCTTTGTACACAATGCATCTCACGTCACTAAAATCCTAATTTCCAGCAGCAGTTTATGTCATGTATAATTATACTGTTCGCAGATAAATGCTTGCCATTAGTGCAATTTATTTTGAAAGGGTAGGTCATTGAACATTGATTTGTGTTAGATTATCATTACTGATGCAGTGACAATACAAGAGAAAACATGCGAAGCTTGCTGACAACAACAAATGCATTTATAGAGTTGACCGGACACTTAAGCTTGATTTTGATTAAAATTAAAAACCTAATTTTAAAACAAACCAACAATTTCACTGGGGAATGTGCCTTTGGAGGCGGAGTGGACTGTGAAGGGAGTCAAATGATAGTACAGTAAAACTCACAGGTCATATCAGTTGAGACCATAACATTCAATATGACTTGTCCAAAGTCTGAGTTGAAAGCAAACTATATTGTAGAATATCCGATTTAATCAATAATTTATATTGCGCATGTGTAATTCAATGCTGGTAAGTACACATGTGACCGGTCAAGACATTTCCCGGGATTCAAGTGGCTGCTAAGTGCGGGAGTAATGGGTAGGGGAACAGTGTTAGGAGGTGATTATTACAAGCAGTGCAAAGAACTCTAAGTGGTTTTAATAGGAAACTAAATGGGACCCCAGGATTTGCATGATTTATGTGAGTTTTACTGTACTCACTTTATGGATTTCTTTGTTATGCTGCCTGATCGAAACCCACAGAAGTGTTAGGCTTTGAAATGCATTTAAACTATTTGTGCCTTAAAATAAGCTTTGAAGTTGAACTGAAATCTATAAAATACACATTTTGTTATGCATAATGTTCTGTAAATTAAGCTTTTGATAGATTTAGTAGCTAAACTACAATATTACTTATGTTTTCAGGACTTATCACTGATTACAGGGTGAGTGTCCTGCTACATTTAAATGTGAAGTAGTTTCATTATACACACATTGTATATACTTATTATACATATATATTGTACATTCAAAAATCTTTGCTGGTAGGGCCTCATCCAATTTACCATTCTTCAGTATGAGCCTATAAAATCCCATTACATTTTTTCCATAAGACTACAGAATATATTGTGTAAAATAGTAACTGCATGAAATAGATCTGAATATTAACAGTGAAAGTAGATTAATCAGCATGGAATCTTATCTACTACAAAATCTTCCGTAATAGTCTCATTCTATTTCTGTACACCCAACATTTGGGTCAAATCAAAGATTAATGCTACAAGCTGCTCTTTACTTTTCTGTGGAGTTCTATAGCTCAGTGGTTTGAGCACTTGCCTTGCAAGAGAGAGTCCTGGGTTCAATTCCTGGCAGGGCAAAACACTGGGCAAGTTTTTTTTACTCCACACTCCTGTTTACCTAGCAGTAAATAGGAATCCGGTTGTTAGTTGATTGGCGGATCGCTTTTCCGGGGATAATAATTCCTTTCTTAAAAAAAGTCACTCAATCCACAACTGTTTGTGATACACTGTTGTGCGCAATTGGCTGCCGTGTTTCACCTGCAAAATATACAGTCAATTCGCTTTACAGTATATTCTGTGAAACACGTTGAGACATCTCAAAGATGTGATAAGGCAAATGAAAGTATTATTATAATTAGAGTAACTATTTATCTCAAAGGCATGCTGTAGACTTGTAAATCAACTGCTTTGGCATTGGAATGTTGCATGATGGTATCTTAACTAATTTTCTTCATGTGTAGCATTGGGGGATTCCACTCGGACGCAGATTCCGCTCTCTGAAAATGTGGTTTGTGTTCCGAATGTTTGGAATAAAAGGTCTTCAAGAACATATTCGCAAGGTAATCCAGCACCTTGCCGTGAAAGGCACTTTACAAATGTAATTTTGTTGTTGTTGTAACATTAAGAATAAGACTGTATCTACTATTCATTATTTCAGTGCTACTGTATGTAAGTTGAGGTATTATGAGTATCCTTTTTTAGCCGCATTTAACCATCAATCTCCAGAGTAAGGAGCAAGAATGGAATGCTGAAATCTTCACTGTAAATCTTTACAATTCCGCTTATCAAAACGTGGTCAGCAAATATCCCTTCTTTTTTTGCAGCAAGTGAATCTTGCGCATGAGTTCGAAGGCTTACTACTTCAAGATAAAAGGTTTGAGATTGCGTCTGATGTCGTGTTGGGACTAGTGTGCTTCAGACTCAAGGTACATATCCAAGAGATTTTCTAAAGCTACTCCTTAACAACAGAGCTGGTGAAAGAATTCTTCAATTGGTCTCAAATTCATTGTAAATGAATGTCTATTTGTATTTGAGTGCTAAATGTGTAATACAGGATTCTGAAGGATTTAGTCTGGCTTCTAGGAATCCATGTATTACCATGTATTACTTTAGATTCCACTCTAGCCCCAGATGAACAAGTCAATTTTTTTTTAAAAAAAGCATATTTAGAGTCAAGCATACACCCTCCCTACCATAAATAATCTGTACCCACTGTAACCAGGAGATGGAAGTATAAAGGAGCAATTAGGGGATGTAAAAAGGAATTTAGGAGGTGCTTCTTTATGCAGAGGGTAGTGATAATGTGGAATTTGCTGCCCAAAGTGGTGGTTGAAGGAGATAATGTAGCTCTTGTGGGTGTCGTGGCAGATGGGCCTTCTTCTATGCTGTAACATTTCTATGGTTCCAAGGTACAGATGCATTTAAAAGGAAGCTAGATAGACACAAATGAGGGAGAAGGGAATGGAAGAGAATGGAAGACTCGAGAAGGGAGGTGGCCGATGGCATGGTCGAAAAGGAGGGTCTTGAGGCGGGACTTGAAAGAGGCTAAGAAGGGGGCGAGGCGGAGTGATTGGGGGATGGAATTCCAGAGGTTGAGGGCAGAGTGGCTGAAGGCTCTCCCGTCAATGGTGGGTCGGGCAGCGTGGAGCAGGCCAGAGCGGAGGGAATGGGCGGGTTGGTAGATCGCAGAGTAGGGAGGGGCGAAGCCATGGAGGGCTTTGGATGTGAGGACCAATAACAACAACTTGGATTTATACAGTGCCCTCCATGCCGGATGGCGTCTCAGAGTGCTTCACAGTAACGGATCCCGGGACTGATCCAGGGGGGAGAGGGAGGAAGGTGACCAAAGGCGCAGTCGAAAAGAAAGGTCTTCAGCTGAGATCTGAAAGTGGGAAGAGAGGGGGCGAGGCGAAGGGAGTTCCAGAGCCTCTGGGCATAGTGGCTGAAGGCATGGCCGCCGATGGTGGAGCGGAGGACTTGAGGGACAAAGAGGAGGCCAGTCCTGGTAGGCTGATAACATCAGTCTACACAGTCCATTATACTAGCCTAGGTGTCTCACAGATACAATGGTTCCAACAGAACATAAAGCACAATGTTTGATTATTTTCATACATATTTATCCTTATTTTATTCCATCCATTGCTCACCAGATATTTTATCCAGCTCTGTTGAAGGAATTAATGTAAATGTGTACTTTGAACACTGTTTATATATTTAATTAACACGTGTATGAATTTAATTAAACTTAACTATTGTTAGGTGCAATATAATCCGATTTTAATGTGGTAGGTAGTTGAGAGGTGGGGTCCATAAAATCCCAAACAGCCTTATAATGAGGTGCAATCACCAGTCCAAAGGGCACCTGCCTTATTAGCAAACCAGTTATAAGGGGGTGCCTCATAACAGGGTTCTAATGAATTTGTTTATTTCAGTAAAGATTGTTTAAGTAACATCATGTAGATCAGGTTCGGCCAACCATTTGACTGCTGAAAGCCAGATGTCCCATTTGAGAAATGGCTGCATAAGCAATACTTTTGTGTTTCCCTTCCACAAGCATAGCATAACATTTACAGGTTATGGAGGGAGTGACTGGGCCAGATGCAATGGAGGGTGGGATGTGTTCTACACCCTGATGTAGAACATTTATCAAGTTGTTTATGTAAGTTTATACTCATGATGCTCAGGCCAGTGAGTTCCTGATCTCAGTTTTATCTGCAATGGGAAGGCATTGAGCATATACATTTGCACTTTGAGGTGTGTATGAGCCAGGGAAGCCAAAGGATAGCATACAAACCTGCTACTAAAGTGTATGTTTTCATCCTAAAAAAATCATTTTTGTTTTGCTATTTGCAAAGGTTGCTGTGAATTATGCAAGTGAAAGATGCAAAATCAGTGATTTATGATATTAAACTTTTTTTAAAAAAAACAGGGGTCAAATGATCTCAACGAAATGCTCATTAAAAGAATCAACGCAGGGAGAAAGATCCACATGGTGCCATGCAATCTTCAAGACAAGTTTGTGCTTCGTTTTGCCGTATGTGCAGCTACAACTGAAAGTAAACATATTCATTATGCTTGGCAGATCATAAAGGAGCTTGCTACGGAGCTGCTTGATGAAGGCTATCAGTAGATGTGCTATACTCAATGAGATATACTTGTATTTTACAATTTTATCCTAAATAAGTCCTATTATTTTCCTGAATTGTTTCAGCTGATTTTGCTTAACATAGTGTAGAAAATGATGAATTTGGGTTACATTTGGCACTCCTGACCCTTGTAATTTTGGGGGTAATAGTGTATTTTTGCATTGTGTAACTTGCAAAATGTAATTTTAATTATGAGTTTAATACGTGAAAAAGTTCATTTAATCATGTTATGTAATAAATACAATCACATTATATGTGCTCTGAGCCACCATCTGGTGTGAAGGGTGCTATATAAATGCAAGTTGTTAGTAGTAATGTACTGTAACAGGCAGAGCAGATGTTGAGAATAAAGATGATACCAACCATAGTTGGTGAACAAAACCATTGACTCTGTAATAATCTTTGAGATGATACAGCATCGTATCATGTAGCAATGTCTGGCATTCACAGAATGTACTATCAGGTGGAGTCCCGTAGCTCAGTGATTAGAGCACTCGCTTTGCAAGTGAGAGACCTGAGTTCAATTCCAGGCAGGTCAGGGCGAAACCTTGGGCAAGTTTCCTTACTCCACACACCTAATAATAATCTCTCCAAAACCCAAAACAATAATAAATTGGTCATTTTCAATCTACGACTGTTTGTGGGACACTGCTGTGCGCAATTGGCTGCCGCGTTCGCCCACAAATATACAGTCAATTCACTTTACAGTGTGTTCTGTGAAGCGCTTTGGGACGTCCTCCCGACGTGAAAAGCGCTATATCAAATGCAAGGATTATTATCTGTATTGTAGGTGAACACAAAGGTCAGTTTGCATACAGTGTAGTCACACAAAACAAACTTGAATCGCATGCAAAAGGAACCAAATGCTTTGGACACCAGATTGCTAAGATGCTCCTCTCCAGACCAACACATTTTAACTCCCTTAGGCACCTACCCAAACTATCACCAGGCTTTCCTTCTGCAGGAAGGCCTGATTACCTCATTGTAGGGCACCCCTCCAAGGTCACTAAAGGATGCTGCAGTGGAAAGGCAGGTACCCAGTTTGTGAACTGGGTCTAAGCTCAGGTCTTTAGGAGCCAGTGAGCTAACATTGCCCATTGTTGCCCAGCTGTGTGCCCTCAATAGAGGAAGCTGGATCCTTGCTCAGACCTTGCATGCAACCCATCTCCATTACAGTATTATTACTCTTATCTTTCCATCTTCCACCAAAATGTCTGATAGCATGAAGATAATGTAAACATCAATGTTACTCGACAGTGCCTGTATGAGTGGCAGTGTAATTTTGGATTTCTGCTTAGCAGAAATAATTTTCTTCAAAAATGGCTTTTCTGAGTCTTGGCCTAACACAAACTAAACTGGGATCCTGTAATTAGGCTTGGGGAAACTGTCTTCCCACATTTACAAACAGCCTCCTCAAATGTTCACACTCATACAACTTCCTACTGTACTTTAGTATAGCAGATCTCCATAACGTAGTGGAAGAAAAATTCCACCCTGTCTGCATGAGTTAAAGCACCCCATTAATACAGGTTGAAACATTTTAATGGAGTGATTTACTCACATTATGATTGCTTGGCTAATTCCACCTCCATGAGGGAAAAAAGTTTGCATATTTTCTAGGGTCATCATTTTTCAAATGTAAACATTCTTTCTGAAGTTGGATGCTGAGGCAATTTTGAAACCAGATTGAAGGCAACTTTGCTCTGCATCTGAGTGAGTTCAATCTGATTTGGGAATGCAACATGCTCCATCCCCCAACACTATCTTCACAAGAACAAATATTTTATGAAGAATGGATTGTATACTTATTAGCATGTCCTGATTCATCAGTATCAGAAACATAGGAAGCAAAAAGCTTGGTTCAGTTGATAGCACTTTTCTCTTTGAATCAAAAGCTTGTCAGTTGAAGGCCCACGTCAGGGACTTTGAGTTCACACTCCAATGCAATTTGTGAAGTGCTCTGTTGTCAGAGGTGCTGTCCTTCAAATGAGATATTAAACAAGTCTCATCTGCCTGGTTAGATAGACTAACCCATAAATAGTCACAGAATTTATTATATGGTGCTTCAAGACAATTTGATGTTATATCAAATGCATTATGTTGGATCAGTTGGTTGGGCACTTACTTACCTTGGGACCAAAACATGCTGGGTTCCGATTCCATTGGTCCAATCATCCCTTCAGCCAGGCAAGGCTGAAATAATCTAAGGTCCTGCATAGAGCTGGCCATATACTGTGTTGTGTGATTGACATCTCTTTCAACATGGCTCAAGAGGCAATGTTGAAGCCATTTTATATAAAAGTTCCTGTTGGAAAATGATGAAGTTATGCTTCAGCGAAATGGTACTACAACCTACACCCCCAGTTTTACCACTGGAGCAGAACTTCATGACATCACAAGGTCTTAGCCTACAGCATTTGTTTCTACACCATCCCAAAACATAATATAATCCTTGCTTTTACGATAGTGCCTTTCACATCAGGGTGTCTAAGTGCTTCACAGAATATACTGTAAAGTGTAGTGACCGTATTTTGTTGACAATGTAGCAGGCAATTTGTGCACAGCAATGTTCCACAAGTAACCGTGAAGAGAGCAACCAATTTTATTTGGGGGATTGTTGACCAGGCAACTGGGAGAAACTCGCTCAAATTTTTTTTAATAGTGCCATGAGATCTTGGTAGCTCCTACCTGAACAGATTACAACTTTTTCTCTTGTTTTCCTATGCATCAACAAGCTCAGATAAATATTTTATACAACATATTACTTAGATGCATACATCAAAGGAATGAACATGTAACCTGTGCTGTGTGAGTCAACATTTTGTTAAAATACTTAATCAGTCAATGACTAATAACATCAATCGATCCTTAACTTAATACACTCCTTACACAATGATTGGGCTTTAAGCCAGATGGGATAGCTGGAACAGTTAATGGGAAACTGTCTAATTTTTTAAAAAAATCTTAATCTAAACTGGCATCCTGCTAACACCATACCATAAACGAACAGTCAAAAATGTGGCATGGCTGGATTTAAACAATACAAAATTAATTTATATAATGTCTTTCATGTCGGGAGAACAACAACAAAATTACATTATATAGCACCTTTCACATTGGGAGGATGCCCCAACACAAGGCGAGGAGCAGACCTGGCTTGGTAACTGAGCTAGGATTGAGAGTCAAGGGGGTGTGGAGAGAAGAAAAAAAGATTGAAGATGCGAACAAAGAAGCAGATCTTGAGGTTGAACAAGGTGAGAGGGAACAGGTCAGAGTTCCAGAGACTGAGGGCAGATTGGCTGAAAGCCCAACTAATTATGGGGATGAGGGTAGGGCAGTGACGTGAAGCAGGCTGGTGCCCACTGGACCCAACCATGTGTATGTGTGTGGGGAGCGTTCACACCGGTCTTTAGTTATTGACAGCATGGAATATTCAACAATGTGTTCATTAACATCAACAATTAAAATTTTCACCCCCGAACAACAAGATTACATTTGTATAGCGCCTTTCACGTCGGGAGGATGTCCCAAGGCGCTGGACAGTGGCAGCATTTCAGACCCGAGATGGGGTCAGGGGGGGGAGAAGAGAAAGGGGTTGGCTGATGGCATGGTCGAAGAGGGTCTTGAGGCGGGACTTGAAGGAGGGGGCGAGGTGGAGTGATTGGGGGATGGAATTCCAGAGGTTGGGGGCAGAGTGGCTGAAGGCTCTCCCGACAATGGTGGGGCGGGTGGGTCGGGGTACGTGGAGCAGGCCAGAGCCGGCTGAGCGGAGGGAACGGGCGGGTTGGTAGGGGGTTAGAAAGTCACAGAGGTAGGGTGGGGTGAAGCCAATGAGGGCTTTGTAGGTGAGGACCAGGATCTTGAACTGGATCCTCTGAAGGATAGGGAGCCAATGGAGTCGGGTGAGAATGGGGTAAATGGAGTCACATAATTTGGTGCGGGAGAGGACACGGGCTGCAGAGTTCTGGATTATCTGCAGCCTGTGGAAGGAGGAATTGGGAAGGCCGACAAGCAGGGCGTTTGCATAGTCGAGCCTGGAGGTGATGAAGGCATGAACCACAGTTTCAGCGGCCTGAGGGGTGAGGTAGTGGCGGAGTCAGGCGATGTTACGGAGGTGAGGGAAGACAGAGCGGGTCATGGTTTGGACGTGGGGAAGAAGACAGTTGAGGGTCGAACAAGACACCAGGTTCCTGTCTGGCTGGTGAGTTGTAGTGTGCAACCATGGAGGTTGATGCTGCCAGAGCCTGAGGTGCAGAGGCGCTGGCGCGAGCCAATCAGGAGGGCCTCAGTCTTGTTCACGTAAAAAGTATCAATAAATTTTACATACAGTAAACTCCTAATAACTTGACCTTGGCTTAACGTGTCATTACCACTTAAGTCATTATGCTATCAATATCCTGGCCGCATTTATTTAAGTCTTTGTACATATACTTAACTCGCAACTCCAGACAACTTGTTACCAAGCCATTTTTCTTTGGATTGACGGATTATCCGGAGTTTGCTATACTTTGTTATTTTGGTACATTTTGCAACAAAGGACTGGTTTTAGTTCATTAGAGGCAATTGTTAAAGGGGTGAGGTGAGGAAGGAGAGTCTGTAAGATGTGCATTAAACACAATGCAGACATAATCCTCGTCATATTTATATCGCCTGTAAAAAATACATTTCTATAGGCTTGTATGACTTGCCATTTGGTGATTCTCCAGCAAATGGCAGTTGGAAAATGAAATCACAAAACAATGGTTGTTAACAGAGAATAAAGGAAGAGTCTTAATAAGACCTGAACTAAGTTGTTGTAAATGAATAACTTTGCATTAATGTTTATTTCTAATTACAATAAACAGAATATATCAGTCCCTTATTTATACAAAAATACCTGAACGGTTACAATTAAGTTCACAAGCCTTACAGCTATTTACATTAAGAAGCAAAGCATATCATGAATACAGATTTTCATTTAAAAAGTTAATACCTTCAGCATTCCCTGAAAAAGGTTTGCTTTATTCCATTTCATAGTAATCAGTTTTTGCATTGTGACAAATTTAATTTGTGATAAGCAAAGTCCTACCACTGGAAAAGGTGCATTGATTGGTCAAATAGTTAGTTACATCTTAGTGCAGAAAACAATGAAAAACAGTCACATACAAACTGAAGCATTACCTGTTTTCAGTTTGAGTGATGAATTAGCTTACTGTTAACTGTAGACATCTAAGTCAATGTAGATGTTAATAATCAAAAATGTTTGGTATTTCCTTCTTAAGCCAAACATGATATGCTACATAAAAAGCAATTTTCTTTTCACAGCCAAGAAAAAAAAATCAACAGGCTTCATCAAACCCTGAGAGTCCCCTTTTACTGTACATTCATATCACTTAAATACAAAAATAAAATAAAATAATTCAGTCATTGGCTTATGCATTGACAGCCGGCTGAACCTGGTAGGACCCAGTACAATTTAAGACCCTGCCAGAATTTTAATAGAGGAACTCAGGCAAGCTGGCAATGAGAATATATTTAATGGTATGCACCTTATCTGCTGTACTAGTGAATGACTAATTGATGAGTAACTAATGAACGTTCAAACCATCAGATACCACCTCATGTTAAGGTATCTGAAACATCTTCTTTCTATCAATTTAATATAATTTACATTCATAAATATGCAAAAAGATGCAATACTGATTAAAAAATCTGGGTAAATGCTATTACAGATATGGTACCTGGAACCCTGTAACAAAAATATTCAGTAGAACACCTGTAGAATATCGATTTTTGGATTCAGTGATATCTTAATGTTAAAATCTCAAGGTTTCAGACTTTACCATTCCTGCACATCTGCAATGGCTGTATAATTAAAGTCAATTAATTCAAAAAAGCTTGCTTGTATGTGTGGGGGATACATTAGGCAACAACTCCTTTTATTAAAAAAGAGAGAGCCATTTTGTAACAAATACAAAGAAAAACATGAAAACCATTACTTGTAATAAAAGATAGTGTATACAAAGCTCTAAAACTCCAATAGGGTTTCACCTTCAATATGCTGACAAATTCTGAAGGTAAATCTATAAAACAAATACTAACTGAAATTGTCATTTGTAAACTAAAGGTTCTGCTTCTACACATCCCCCCAACTTAAAACAGGGCTGTTACAATAATTGCACTGCATCAGAATTGCATATGGAAACTAAGCAGTAAATTCCAGTGCACTCTGATACAAAATAAATTGTAAAAGTATCTTACAACAAACGATATCACAACAACCCTGCTTTAAAAATAGGTTCAGTATATTTCTGTGTAAAATTATTCTAACAAAAGATTTTTTGTTAGTGAACATGTGCAAACTAAAAAACATGTTTTACTGCTGTGAACCAATGAAATTAGGTCATGAATCAACAAACAAATGATCAACATTGCCAGAATTGGGCAGTGCCGTTACCGAGCAAACAAACCTCCTGTTTTGTGGTTAATTTAAATTTTGAGTCAAACATCTGAAAAAGGAAATATTATTTATCGTTAAACAACAACAAAATTAGATTTGTAAAGCGCCTTTCACATCAGGAGGACGTCCCAAGGCGCTGAACAGTCGGGGATCAGGACCTGAGCATGGGGGGCCAGTGGTTGGGGTGAGGAAGGGCAGAGAGGTAGGAGGGCGGCTGAAGGCACGGTTGAAAAGGAGGGTCTTGAGTCGTGCCTTAAAGAAGGCAAGAGAGGGAGCAAGGCAAAGGGATTGTGGGATGGAGTTCCTAAGAGTAGGGACAGAGAGGTTGAAAGCCCGGCCACCGATGGTAGGGCAGGTCGGGCTGAAGACCTGGAGCAGGCTGGAGCCTGCTGAACGGAGGCAGCGGGCAGGTTGATAGGAGGTCAGAAAGGTAGGCGGTGGCAAAGCTGTGGAAGGCCTTGAAAATGAGGACGAGGATTTTGAATTCTATCCTCTGAGGGATGGGGAGCCAGTGAAGCTGGGCGAGGGTGGGGTGATGGGGTCACGGCACCTGGTACGGGAGTGGACACGAGCTGCAGAATGATCTGTAGCTTTTGAGGGAAGAGTTGGGGAGGCCGAGAAGGAGAGAGTTTCTGTAGTCGAGCCTTGAGGTGATGAATGTGTGTATGAGGGTTTCGGCGGCCTGAAAAGTGAGGCAGTGGCAGAGTTGGGCAATGTTGCAGAGGTGGGGAAAGGCAGAGCGGGTCATGGCACTGATGTGGGGGAGAAAGGACAGTTGAGGGTCGAACAAGTACTCAGGTTCCTTACTGGCTTGGTGAGGTGGAACGTGCATCCCTGGATGCTGATGCTGCCATTGCCTGAGGTGTGGAGGCGCTGACACGAGCCAATCAGGAGAGCCTCAGTCTTGCTGACATTAAGCTATAGAAAGTTGGCTCTCATCCAGGACTTGCTGTCTGACAGAAAGTCTGCCAGGATGTCAGCTGTCCTGGAATTGAGGGTGGAGGCAGGGAGATAAGAGTTGTGTGTCATCTGGATACATGTGGAAGTTGACTCCATGTCTGCAGATGATGTAACCAAGATGAAGCATGCAGAGATTGAAGATGAGGGAACCGAGGATAAAGCCCCGAGGAACATCACACAAGATTGTGCGGGGGCTGGAAGAGAAACTGCTGGCGGAGACAAATTGGTGCGAGAGATAAGACCTGAACCATTCAAGGACAGAACCTTGAAGGTTGAGGTAAGAGGAGAGGCGGTGGAGGAGGGTGAAGTCGTCCACAGTATCAAAGACAGCAGAGGGAGTCCTGGTCACAATGGACAGGTCACCATGACCAGTTTCAAGGTTTCAAGAAACCCAATTGGAGGGGCTCATGAGGGAGTGGTAGGAGAGGAAGGAACGAACCTGGGAAGCAACAACTCCTCAAGGACCTTGGAAAAAAGGGGAGGTTGGAGATGGGCTGGTATTTAGAAGGCAGGGATGGATCCAGGGAAGGTTTTTTCAGGATGGGGGTGATCATAGCTGTTTTTAGGGGTATGGGAATGGTGCCAGATGAAAGGGAGATTGATGGTGTTTGAGTAGAGGGGCGAGGAGGTGGAGCTGAGAGGTAAGGAGAGGAGTGGGGATGCGATCAAGACTCAGTTCATCAACAAAACATCCCAGGTTGTTTAGACATGGACTGGAAGGTTTTTCGTTTGAATCCTGGTGGGCCTGATGAACCCTTTGAGGTTAATAATAATAATCCTTGCATTTGATATAGCATTTTCACATCTTCCAGACGTCTCAAAGCGCTTCACAGAATACACTGCAAAGTATCTGCGAAACGCGACAGCCAACTGCGCACAGCAGTGTCCCACAGTCACGGACTGAAAATGACCAATTTATTATTGTCTTTGTTTTTTGGAGGGATTATTATTAGTCCTGTGGAATAAATAATAAAGTGATTGACCTCAAAAATATCCCCAGGGCGGGGCTGGTGAGGTATCTTATACAACAAGCTGGTCTCTGGGGACTGAACTGCAAGGCAATTGAAATTATACAAGCCCTCAACCCTACTAGTTAAAGTTCAAACTGCTAGCCCATGCTGATTGGCTATCAGTTTTTTCTCCATATAATAGGCTAACGCTGAGAAACCAAAGTGTTGACCTAAGATGCTTATTACAGATTTGCACAACTCGTGGTCTTAACTTTTTTTATATCAACATGCGTCTGAATCTAACATAGTATTCGGTTAGTGTGTGACAAATGCAAATAAAAATAATTTAAATTTAATAAGACTGTAAATTCACAATTTGATTTAAATGCATTAATTCACAGCAGCAAAATGCAATATTTATGTAATAAAAAAGGGAAAACAATGTGTGTTGGATCTGCATTCTTTCTCTTTACCCTATGATTAGAGTTCAGACACGATATATGGTGGTAGGTTATTGTCCAAAAGAAGCAGTCCTATGACTTGTGCTATTCCATCATAATGCACCTACATTGGAGCATTATGTACAATAGGCTGTGCTCAGGACTTAAAAAGAAACATTAAGTGCTGTACGAAATTAAATGTCTCCTCAGTGACAAGCTGTCAACTTTTTCCTTTTGTGAATGAACCGAATTACCCACTTAAAAATACTAAGTCACCTGTCTTCAATTTATGTATCAAGATTATTCCAGAGCAGGAGCAATTGTCAAGTTTTTTTTGCCATCATAAATATCAGCTTGAAGATCTTTGAGTTGATTGTACAAAGTGACAGCATGGAAACATGTAAGACACTCAACTGCTCCATCCATTTTCTTCTTCTGTATTGCTACTGTTTTTGTTATGAACAGCAAGCAATCAATCTTAGTGTATTCAGTCCTGGACATATGCCTTTAGTACTGATTTTCACAGATCTGGTGAAGAACAGAATTGTCTAATTTCCCCCCCAAAATGCACAACTGATGCAAAGAATCAAACAGAAATTCCAGTCTCCTGTGGATAATTCCAAAGAGTAAACAGATATCAAAGGTCATAAGGAAACCTGGGAACAGTGATGCTTCAGTTTGCAAGGTAGGATTCCTCGGTTCAGAAGGTAAAATTCAACAAGCTGTATAAGATCACAAAATTTGGTATTGCCGTCATCAAGACTAAAGACGAGCTGTCCATTGTCTTCACTCTAAAGAAAAAAAAAGTTTTTGAGCAAAGTATAACATGTAAGTTAGTTAAAATCACAAATATTAAATTGGCACTAACAAAATAAAGACAAGATATGCCCAATTTGGATTCGTTCACAAGAAATAAAGCACTACAAAATGCAAACATGTTATGCTACAACTGCTCTTTTAAAAGAACTGGCACAGACACAATGGTTTGAATGGTCTCTTTCTGTACTGTATGATTCTATGAACTGCAAATTACTATACTCAGTATCTGACAACATAACTAATATCCTCATGACATCATTTAAGGTCAGCTGTCTTTGGTATATTTCTTTTTAATGTACAGAAGTTATAACTACTAATCCACTGTCAAGACAAGGGTGAACATACTAACAAGGAAGGCAAGCTCACATTACATACATCAAATGTAAACTTAGGGTGATTTTAAAAAGCATAAATGAGAAGATTGTTTTGGTTCATCAAGATCACTTTTTCCAGTGCATGAACATTATGTCTTATAATCAGCTTTTCTTTCTGAATTCAATCCTGAGGGAAAATACTCTGTAAAAACTTTCATTCCCCAAAAAGTACACTCATTGCAACATCGACTCTATTCAAACATAGTGTTACAAAAAGAATTCCTCCCCCAACCCCAGCATCCCAGAGTAATCTTTATACACATCAGTCTTTATATTTCCAACTAATGTTCTCAACCAGATATTTATCAGCATCATATTGAAGGTCCAACAGTTTGCATTGGAAACCTGTTCATCATCATTGAGAACAGAACAATTTATGTTTACTGTTCATGTCAGGAGGACATCTCACAGCACTTCACATAGCTGAGTGGAAGGTGAGAAGATGGCTAAAAATGTGGTCGATCAATCTTAAGGTGGGTTTTGAATGTAGGGAGAATGACGTTCAAGTAAGACAAGAGATTAGAATGTCTTGAAGATAGTTAATTTTACACTTGTACTGTCTGGCTCTGCATGCAGTGGCCAAGGCAATTAATTCGCTTAATTTGCCAAAATTTGCAAATGACACCAAGGATATTCCATGGAATCTGAGGAGACACCCAAGGTCTTTCAAAGAAGGCTCAATATTGTATATTACCTAGGAAAACAGAGTTTAATGCAACAATAATCGAGTCTCCTGCATCTTGTAAGTAAAAATAGGAGGCATATGTACTCACTTGATGGGCTACAAGATGCCATGGGAAAAGTTAAAAGACATAGGATGGTGATTGACTCATTACTTACCATGTTCAAACGGTATGAGGCAACAATAAAACAGAGTACAGGATGCTGGACTACTTTCTGAAACCACTGAATTCAAATTACCAGAAACATTTCAAGCTGTACAGTGCTCTGGTCAGTCTGTTTTTAAGAGTGCTGCATACAATCCCAGTTACCATAATACACAGGGTTTGCCAAGGCTCTACAGGCAATTGTGCTACCAACTGAACCAGGCTCCAGTAAACATTTAAGATAATAAACTGACATTAATAGGAGCCACACTGAATAAAGATCAGAATGAAATGCTGCCCAGTCAAATCATAACATAGAATTATCTGGTCACGAGAACTGTCACGTGACTAGATAAATGTTATTACTAACTGCATTGGAAAATTCTTTTGTCTGTGCAGCAAGACCCTTTCAGCATTAATCTGGCTAATGAGACTTGATATAGTTGCCAGATACATAGTTCCAGTATTACTAGTCAAAAGCACCCAAACAATTTACCATGGAACTTCTAAACTATGAATTTAAAATGCTCAGAAAGGGGAGAATACCATAATGCTTAATATTTTAGAAATATAATTGAAAACTTACTGGTAATATCTGGAAATGCCTGATCTTCTGTTGACAGTACAATGTTAGTACAAATGTCTTTGGGTTACTCTGACTGTCCCTCAAAAGAAATAACCTGTGAGAACAAAGTCAAAATCTGCAATCACTTTTCGAAACTGCGGTTGCACAATGCATATGGGAGGCTGAATGAACTGAGTCAGCTCCATTAAATTGACGAACATGTCCTCCTTCTGTCAGCGATTAATAAACTGACATAGTTAAAATTTTTAGACTAGAATAAAACCACTCTGGATTAAGCAAATATTTCTGTTCTAAACATTAGTTATTCTCAAGTTCAACTCTTTTGGTTTCTTAAGCACTGTCCAATAAGGATAACAGCACAGTACTTGTCTAGCTGGGACCACCCTACCCAATAAGGCTTTGGTTTGCAGCGGTGAAGACTATTTAAATAATTAACATTTAAACAAGATATGCATTAAAAAACTATAATTTTCAGGTACAACCTGAACTGTTAGTTATGGAAGTTAAATAAAGCTGTCAGCTTTAATTGATTAAACATAAATATCTGTCAGAAAGATAAGGTAATCATCTGATATTAATGGCCAGAAATGCAAAATATAAAATTGTGCTTTCAATATTTCACTCAAACTAGTTTTTATTTTAAAGCTGTAGTTATGTAGTCCCATCACAGTTTCTACAATTACTGAGTTTAAAAAGGAAATTTTTAAAAAATAAAATTAGAAAATCCTGGAAATACACAGCAAGTCAATTAACATGATAAACAAAAGTATGGGTTTATGTTGGGGCAGAAATATCTGGTAAGAAAAAAAGCATTTTAATCTGGCAATTTTGTTCCAATGACTGTTAGAGGTAGTGGTCCTGGGAGGAAAGAGGGAATGGTTACGCACATGCAAAGACCATCGGTGGCTGGTCAGGAGCAATTGGCATAAGAGGAGGTCAATGGCAAGTTTAACTACAGGGCCTGTTTTTCAGCAGCCTGTAATGGCTGTAAAGCGGCTGCCAATAGTCTTGTAATATAACCCTTAAAAAACATTGTGTGGAAGTTAAAACATTCAAATCCACTAATGAATGGATCTGCATGCACAGGGAGGCAGCTAATGGGTCATTCACAAATCAATACAGAAAAAAAAGTATTGTACATAATAGCGTCAAAATTGGTCAAGATACAGGCTACAATTTACAGTATGACAACTCATTTGTATTTTCTTAGATTGGTACCTATAATAGATCAGTGAATATGTGAATTTCCACTTCAGACTCACCCAATTTTTGAGACAAGAAAATTTGGTTAGTTTTAAATTTAATTTAAGGGGCATTGTTCACATTAAACAACCTTGCACAAAAACGATCCCAATGGAAAGTGTTATAACAAAGAATTTTTTGTTCATCCACGTGAAGAAAGTTGGTACTATCAAATGGAACTATTCACAGATTCAAACATTCTCAGAACATGGCAGAGGTTGGACGTAGAGTAATCCTCCTTTTCTAATGTAACAGTGTGCCACAGCTTCAATCTCAGAACACCTCCACCTCACCAGTATGACTTTTTTTTAATTTCCCACACCATTGTATGACTCCTCTAAGTGAGATTAATTTTGGACAGCATTATGCTGAGCACACACTTGTGAAGAAAATTTGTTGAAGTTCCCTCTTACTAATTTCATAAAGGACTCGGACAGGAATGCCAAGAAAGCCAACAGACAGAAAGACTTTGCTTTCCATAAGTCTGGTCAGATTTGAACACAGATTCCAGAGGTGCACTACCAAAACCCCAAAGATTATATTATAGTACTTTAGTTACGTCACAGTAAAACAATTACTGGCAAAACAAAAAGGAAATGCTTAACAGCAAAAAGCACGGTTTTATACCCCTGAGCTAGACAAACTATATAAAATACTGGATTAATTGTATATTGAATGTATACTTTTACTGTAACATGGAAAACTTTAGTTCAATCCTTATACGTTTACAGATTATAGACATTAAAACTGGGAGATGTGCAATACTTGTCCATTAGAACTGGGTAACCCAATTTGGGTTTACGGCTGAGGACATGCCTACTTCAAGCTTTATTGATGAGCCAAGACAGCTATCAACGCTTTCTGGGATTACTTTAAGTATGCCTGTTTTCTACCCGAGATACCTCCTCAGTGCCAATAAATCTCAGGGAAACCTTGCTTACCTTGCTTCCTTCTTCGTGCCCCTCCCCCCAGACCTTTTTGTGACAACATACTCATCATATCAACCTCAATAGGGCATGAGACTGCATGGAGTCAGAGACAAATCCAGAACTTTTGTGCTCAAACGTCTAGGGTGCTGAATGAAGATATTATGCAAATCACAAAATTATAATGACAAACATTAGACTTTTTCTCCTTACCCATCCACAGGCCCCTGCTTTTCAATTGTACTGTGAGCCACTTTTCGAGAGATCCTTCCATGAAACCATGGTTGAGTTCTGTGAATGGCTAGACAGTTAAGAAAATTAGTGGGAATTTTTACATTTTAGCCTACATTTTAAGAATAATTAATAGATGAAGAAAGAGTATATTAATAAAAACTTTCAATTTAAATGCAACTTACTATGACTAAGTGGGGAGGGATGCAAAGGACTAGAACTCCCCAAGGCATTCATCCGTTGGCTACGTTTCTGTAGATAAAACATTTGATACTGAAAAGTCAATGTCATGTCATTGGAAAAGTTAACTTTTCAGAATTCATTAAACATTTCATCCATTTCAGTGATCCACATTATATATTATAAAAATATTATATATCTCTCTCCAATAGTCTGGGCGGTGACTCCTGTGTACTGTGGCACTGAACCAAACCAACCAGGACAGTCCCAAGTTTGATCTATTGTCTACACTGATCTGGCCAACCTCAGGCTGGAGAGAGAACAGAACTAATAACACAATTATTGACCAGCAAGGTTAGTTTGAAGCCTGTATGCAAGTGGATGGGTAAGACCAGGCAACCAAGAGTGTCCCCATACTGAATAGCCTTTCAACCTTTTGTTGCCAGGGACTATTTTAGACAAAAATGAACACTTAGGTGAGCAGGTAAATAAATTATGAGGAGTTTCAGAATAGAATTTGAGGCAATGGTTACAAAGAACATTGTAATTCACGGGTCATTCATCCCAACTACAACAACAACAAGATTCCATTTATAGAGCGCCTTTCACGTCGGGAGGACGTCCCAAGGTGCTGTACAGTTGGGTCAGGACCCGAGCGGGGGGAAATGGTCAGGGTGAGGGAAGGGAAGGGAGGGAGCGAGGAGGGGGTAGAGAGTCGAGAGGGGAGCTGAAGGCACGGTCAAAGAGAAAGGTCTTGAGACCGGCCTTGAAGGAGGAAAGGGAGGAGGCGGCGAAGGCACTGGGGATGGAGTTCCAGCGCCTCGGGGCTGAGAGGCTGAAGGCCCGACCACCGATGGTAGGGCGGTTGGGGCGGGGGATGTGGAGCAGACCGGAGCCAGAGGAACGGAGGGTACGGGCAGGTAGGTAGGGGGATAGTAGGTCAGAGAGGTAGGAGGGAGCGAGGCCATGAATGGCCTTGTAGGTGAGGATGAGGATCTTGAATTCAAGCTTGAACTGGTGTGTGCCATGTTTATACTCCATATGAGCCTCCCTCTACCGCTCATATTGGCAGCCATTTAACCCAAGCATTTTCCTGCTCCCAGCATCACATCGATGATCATCCAATTTTAGTTGCCCATTATTCTACACAATAATATTTACTTATCTATAATAATAATAATTGCATTTGATATAGCGCCTTATTAACTCTTCGAGAACTCTCAAAGCGCTTCACAGAATAACTAAAGTGAATTGATGCATATTTGGCACTGATCAGACATTGCTGTGCGCTATTGGCTGCCGCGTTCGCCCACAAATATACAGTCAATTCACTTTACAGTGTGTTCTGTGAAGCGCTTTGGGACGTCCTCCCGACGTGAAAAGCGCTATATCAAATGCAAGGATTATTATTATTATTATTATTAAAGATCCTATTTGTAGCCTAACCAACCCAGCCAATTTGCAATATATAGCTACCATGTTTGCCTACAAAGACAGCCACAATTAATACTTAACCTCAATCACTTTGAAACATTGTTATAGGTATTATGTGGCCTGGGGAAAAACCAAGAGATGCACTTTTCTGTGTAATAATGAATAATAATCCTTGCATCTGAAATAATGCTTTATGAGACATCTGAAAGAACTTCACAGGATATACTGTAGAGTGGTGTGACTGTGTATTTTGTAGATTTGTACATGATTTTCATAGTCGGAAAATCCCCTTGGTTCTAGACTTTGAATTCCTTAATCAACAATTTTTGATTTTTCCCAATTACACTGAATGTCAAATTATGGTACATGAACATAAATGAAGTTGAGCATTTGTTTTACAAATGAGTAATTCAAATGATTACCTTTTCCTCACTATCAATTAATTCTACCAAAGCAAACAAGATTCAAATCATTTTGTTTACCCTCCACGTGTTGCCCTCTTCCATAGCTGCACTTTGTGCCTCTAAGGGATTCTCAATGACTCGACCTGTGTGCCCAGAAAAATCCATAGCTACCAACGAATTTTCTGATGCACTTCTCTGAAAATAATGAAAACAGAAACAAAACATTGTTAAAAAGAACTGATAAAATATCTTGATTTAGATAATTGATTTACTTATGTCCTACAACATATATTAAGTGACTGGACACATCCTACAAAAGTCGGGTGAAAGAGCAAATTAGAATTCATAAAATTGTCGGGTGGGGAGGGGTGAAGAGGAAGCGATACTTACCACCGGTGTAGTGAAGTGGGATTGTAATGCTTTTCTCTGCTGAGGAATCAGATAGTTCTGGTACAACAACATGCCATACTAAAGAAATGAAAAGGAAAAAATGCCAACTGTTATTTTTAAAATCTTGTTTGCATACCGCATAAAGGTAGTATAATAACTGGGTTCCTACTTACTGCTAGGTAACCCGAGGAGTGTGGAGTGAGGAAACTTGCCCAACATTTCGCCCTGCCCGTGAAGCACACCCAAGTCCTCTCACTTGCGAGGCGAGTGCTCTAACCACTAAGCTCCAGGACTCCATGTTGTTTAGATATCAGAATATTCTGAATATCTTTACCACCAACCAGAAATTCTATTTTTATATATAAAAAACAGCCAATGAAATGTATTTTTGTTGAGTTTTAAGCTTTAAGCAATTATTTTTCTAATCCATCGCCATGGTCTATGTATGCCTCTCTGCTCTTGCCTCCTTGTGTTGGGAGTCTAGTTCTACAGGTGCTGGTTGCCCTCCAGTACCCTACCTAAGTTGCCATTGTTCACGTGTGAGCCTTGGCAGGAAGTGTTGTCAGGTCTCTTGATTATAGAGGGAATTATAGCCAAGAATCTGCACCTCTTCCCCTCTGGCTACTACACACACACACACATATATATAATATATAACTTGTAGAGGGTGCTGTAGAGGGAAGACCCTAGCCGGTTTGCCCTTCCCTCCCTAAATCTGGGAAGGTCAATTTAGTTTCCCCATGAGGCAGACTGATCGCCAAACTCAGCACTGGGATTCAAAACCAGCAAACCCTGGTCCATAGTTTGGGGGTTTATAAAATTTGTCAACTAAACCTTTAAAACTAATAAAAAGAAAAGGGAAAATGAAATAGTACACATTTTCATATAAATTCATTTGTTATTCTAAAGGATAGTTACATCACAAATTGACCAGTTATCTCAACACAATACCTTAAGGAGTCGAAAGGCTGTCATCCAGCATGTCCTACTCTGTTCATCTTCTGCACATAACAGTCGAAGCTCTTTTGTTTCATTCCTCATTTTGATGGGCTGCAATGAATAAAGAAAACTACAATAAAGCAAGCAATCATTTCTGAAATTTAGAAATTTAAGTCTGGGACATCATTACATTTGCAGTTGTGGCAAAATAATTAAAACCTAAATTGTTCATTTTAAAATGTAATAACATGTTTATATTTGACCAAATTATTCATATCAGGTTAAAAATAATTACAGCATACTTCATATGATGTACATCAAGCGACAATTCAAACATATCTGTGCCATTGACTGATGTGAAAATGAGAAATAAAACACAGAAGGATAAGATCGCTAAGGCTACCTTTTATTGAAGAACATTGCTGAGATTTTATTTTGTAGAACTCTGAGAATTTCAATTTCTTAGGATGATGATGATGCTTTTGAAACAAAATGCAAGTTTAAAAATTACCTTTATGCAAAACCCATAATCAGTTGGTGCACCACAAGTCTTTTTGCCTGCGACTAGTGAGAAGACATTACAGTCCTCAATGTCAGCCAATAGTTGGAGATGTCTTGGTTCCTGTGGAAATTATGGGAAGAAGCCTTTAGAATTTGTATAACAGCTGCTTAGTGATTGATTATTTTTCATTTCCCAGTAATAAACATGAAACTGGAGTCCTGTAGTTTAGTGATTAAAAAGCGCTTGCCTTGCAAGCGAGAGGAACTGAATTTGATTCCCGGGCAGAGCGATAAGTTAGGAAAATTTCCTTACTCCACACACCTCGGTTTACCTAGTAAGCCAGAAGCTAGTTGTTAGTCGATAGGCAGATCGCTTTTCCGGGGTAATAATCTCTTCAATTTAAAATAAAAAATAGAAAAAATGTAGTCACTGAACCTGTGACTGTTTGTGGGACACTGCTTTATGTAATTGCGTTTCCCCCCACAAAATATAGTCAATTCACTTTACAGTATATTCTGTGAAGCGTTTTGTGACTCTCGAAGACATGATAAGGTGCTACATCAAATTATTATTATCAAATGCAAGGATTATTATTATTAACTGCAGAACAAGGATTTTAAACATAATTGCTTAAAACCACTAGATGGCAATAGATCAGAGAACCATAGTAAAAGTAATTATAACAACAATAATAGCTCTTGCCTTTATTTATTTATTTATTTATTTGTAGTGCTTAGTTATGTTGTCAAAATGTCTCAAAAGCGCTTCACAAGATTTACTATAAAGTGTAATGACTATTTGCAGGTGAACATGATAGCTAATTTCCATACAGCAAAGACCCACAAACAGCCATGAAGTGAATGACCAATTTGATGTGAGGTTTGTTGGCCAGGACACTGGGAGAACCTTTTTTACACAAATAGTGCCAAGGGCTCTTTTAACATCCATCTGAACAGGCAGACAAGACCGATTTGGTATCATCCAAAAGATGGGATTTTACTTCAAGAAATAAATCACATTTTACACTACTAATGGCACAAATTAATCTATATGAAGCAATACTATACGCAACTTAAGAGTTCAGCCATTTACATTTGATATTTAAATTAAGGAACACTTTTTATGTTTATTTAAAACCTAGGGTTTGGCAGAAGAGACCCACTCTGCTATTTTTCTCCCCTCAATTCTGCATATTTACAACAAAATATTCATAGAGGCTAAACATAAGTACAATTCTGGGTCTCTGGAACCTTCCAAATAAATGTGACTCAGTATCGTATCATCAGAGATGCAGATTTCACTGAGGGATGAGAAAATGATCCTTTAACCTTTGTTGGCTAGTCCTACTCAGTGCTTATCAGAAAAGAGTAGTAAGAGTATTTGGGTGTAATGCAAGTTACACTGGTGCAAAACTGACATTTAGATTGCTTTGTAGAACAAATAACAATTTTCAATAACAATATTAAACAACAATAAATGATACATTGGGAAGAGTTATTATAAAAGATATACAAAAGAGATGGAAGTTGTGTTAAACATATTTTTCATATAATGTTTCATAAATTAAACTCAAATTCTGGGTTCTGCTGTTTTGGTTTAGCAATCTTTTAACACCATTTAATACTAAATAATCTACTGTAAATAATAATAGTGCCTCTAACATTGAAAAAAATCTCAAACACTTCACAGGAAATGGTTATCAATTGGACTAACTGTCAATACAGTCACTTTGCTCAGAGTAAGGTTGCACAAACAACTGTGAAGTGAATGACCTAGAGGAATATGAGAACGTGGTCAAATTCTTTACAATTATGGTGCAGCATGTAATGATGCAAATGCATAAGGAGGCTATGTGACTCAAATCATGAAAACATGAGAATTTCCCCTTCCCCACAGATAAGTGCACAGCTAATGCCATATCAATTCTTCAAAACAAACTGGGATTTGCTTGCAAACAGTATTGAAAGATACAGGGATCAGTCCAGATAAATATGCTCCACGCAACGGTAAGTTGACCCTCAAAATTAAAAAATCAACCTTCAGTACACCCACCCCCTAAATGTTTTCTTTAAATACTTCAAGATATTGCAAATTGTAGCTTACCTTTGAAGTACCTTTTAAGGAACAGTAAAATCCTGATCTTCGCAAAAATACATACAATTTCTTCCATGATTTCTTTCCCAGTTCTTTTATATGCAAGAATCCCTGAATTTCAGGGCAGCTGTTGGAGTTCAAGAAATCCTGTAAAAAAATAAAATTAAGTATTTTTTAAAATTACAGAAAAATTTATATCAAAAATGTTGGGATTGAAAATCGTGTACTGGAGCGAATCAATATACATCGCCAACTCATGAGACCTCAGCTCCAAACTGATACAGTGGGTTGGAGTGATATGCACTTTATTTCCTGAGAAGCTTTTTGAGACGCTACCACTATCGTGATATTACGCTTTCAACTCATTATGAAATGCTTGCAGTGAGGAAGGGCTGGACTACTTTTCACATCAATGGTTTCAATGTTGTTTTTTCAGATACAAGCTAGTAAAACAAATAAGCTAAATTGTCATGGATCTGACGCAAAGTTGATGCATGCTCTAAACCGTCCAATTCTCTGATAAAAAAANTCTTATGACAACTACATGGCAACCCCATTATAACACGGTGGTCTGGGTCCATTATAAGAAAGGGCCGTAAAATAGTTGACATCCAGGTTGGCTGGTCACCACTGCCACCACTTTCTGTGCAATGAGGACTGCACTGCTGATGTTACTTCCTTTACAAAGTTAGCGCTCCAAGCAAACTCGCAATCAACTGGCGTATGTACGTTTTAATGGGGTCAGCCTCAATCACCTGTTCTAGTTGGGAGTAGGAGGTGGAAACTATGGTGAGGAAAATAGTGTAATATGTAATCGATTTGTATTCTTGAGTGGTCTACTTTGCAGTTCAGATCTTCAAATTCAATGGTACTTACATTTTGGATCTTCCTAAATGAATTCAAGGCTGGAGGGTTTTGAAAACAGTTTCTCAGTGCTGACTGAAATACATTTTACTAACATTTTAGGTTTAGAATTTTAGGTTAGAGAATGTTTACATCCACAACCCATTAAGAGTGATAAGCAATCTAACTATATATGTGATTGAAAATTAAATACATCTTCAAAAAGAAAAACCTCAGAAATATACTCAAACATGAATCTTACCTGCAAGAGCTGTGAACGTGGATTGCTTCCATTTGATTCTTGGCACCAAGTCACCATTTGTTCTGGAAAGAAGGTCTGTCAAACAAAGAATGTTATTCAAAAACATGTACTTAATAAATCTTATATGGTTTGATTTTTTAAAAAAAGTGAAAGGTAAACAATTTAAGTCTAGTATCACGATAGTTTGCGAGTTCACATCCCCCATACTGTCAGCTATTCAGAGTTATCTATCTCATTTAGTTAAGTTTACTCATTTCCAGGTCAGCTCGCCCCATTAGCTTGGCACACTGAAGTCAGGCATTTCTGGGAGACATCATTTAAATTTTCTTGTTTAACTTGCACAGCTAGTTACCTCAAAACTAAAGATGATAGCTGCAGATAAATTTGTGGGCTAGATTATCTCATATTCCTAACTAGAAGATGCAGGACACAGAGAGAAGGCCCAAACATTTTGAAGCAAATAGCAAAATAGATTTAAGAAAAATCAATGCATAAATGAGGGAGAAGGGGATAGAGGAGTACAGGTGAGGGGAATAAGTGGGGTAGAAGCTCACTTGGAGTTTAAACACCAGCATGGACCAGTTGTGCCGAATGGCCCGTTTTTGTGCCATAACTCCAGGTTTGTGTTTATAAAAAAAAGTTTGTGATTATCATTTCAAATTGATTCTCCCAACTCTCTGCAAGTGTCACATTAATTGTTCTCTAAAGGTAAACTACATAAAACTATTAAGTAGCCTCCACTCAGGCCTGATCCATGTCCTCTGCCCTATCCAGCTCCAAAAATCAAGCAAACTTTCAGCCACTCTCCGGAACTCCATTCTTATTGTGACATCCCAGAGTCCCTCCGACACGCTTCCTCCCTCAATGTGCACCTCAAGATACAATTGTAAAACACTGCTACAGACAAGAACAACCAAGAAAGTAGATCATACTTGCATAATGAAGGAAATGGACCAAAATTTAGTAACAAAAATATTCTTAATTCAATTAGAAAAAGTAAATGGGAGGTAGTCTTAGTTTCATCTATCCTTTACTGATGCATGAAGATTTGTATTTAACGTTAAGTAACATTTACGGACAACACACCAAAAACTATAATCCAATCTTGCAATAACCCAATCTTGCAATATCCCAAATACGTCAGCAAAGGATACTAAAACTATAGAACTGTACTGGTAGGCAATCCCTAATATATTGACCGATGAGCATTTATAATGTGAATATTTTATATAATTGTTATTAAAGTGGCAAGTCAAAGGAGGGACAGCACGGAGGAACACATGCATTACAAAACCCACCTCACTGCAATGAGATTTTCAGAAATGCACACTGTTAAGCCAGTTCCAGAACCTGCTTAAGTGAGAGTGCATCATATTACGTACGTATTACTAGAACTGTATAGCACTGAGGCAGGTTTTGGTATGTGTGCAATTCTTGGAACCACCTTTTGTGTACAATCCAGAAACTGGCAGTAGAGAGACAGGTTTCGAATCTTTAAGATATCCTTAAGAGTCCGAAAAATAATTATGAATTTAACTTTAAATATTAAAATTCACTGATTTATGTCATCATAAAAAAACAAATAAGCATTCTACTGTATTTGTAAGGCTCAGAATTACGTCTTTGTCAAGTCTAAAACAAAATATTATACTCAAGACTATATTGCCAGAGTCCTAGATCATACTTTGCAGTGAATTTCTTATAGAGTACACGTCATAGACGTGAAGAATGGTGCACCTGAACTTCATGTGGTTTAAATTTGGTCAATTTTGGACACTGGTAGATAAAACCAACACATTTTAGATTTTCAACTTAGTTTGGCATTCAATCGCTAGAATATTATATATGGTTATCATTTATATAGAGAATAGATCTATCTATACCAAACGCAATGGTTATTATATATAATAATTATATATTTTATATTATAAATATAACTATATATAATAACCATTGTGTTTGGTATAGCTCCTTATCACGCTGCCTAAATGCCTCAAAATCACTTCACAGGATTTAGAAGGCAGAGTGCAGTGACAAAATAATAATCCTTACTTTCGATATAGCGCCTTTCATGCAGGGAGGATGTCTCGGATCTCATAGCATTATATATTGTAAATGTAATGACTGTGTATTTTGTAGGTAAACTTGGAAACTCCCTCATCATTTTAAATAGTGCTATGATACTTTTAACATCCACCTCAACAGGTAGACTGGACCTCTCATTCAAAGGACGGCACCACCGACAATATAGCGCACCTCCTAAACTGCACTGAAGTGTCAACCTAAACTATGAGTTCAAAATCCATTTGTGGGGCTTGAAACCATGACATTCGGACTCAAAAGTCAGAGAACTACCAACTGAGCTAAGCCAGGTTGACACCTATTGCCTATTTTTGTGCAAGGGAAAAAATTGTGCAATAAATAAAGTTATTAAATAACAGATGTGATGTTTTAAAATGTATTAAACCGTTTAAAAAAAANCTTACTGCATGTTTGTGTGTGTGTGGTGGTGGGGGGTGGTTGCTTAGCCAGCTGTCGAACACATAGAAACTTATCACCATACTTAGGAGTTTCCAAGCCAGAAAGAGTTGCAGAAACGTATGCCACCTGTACATGTAAATGTCCACATCTGAAATGGAATGTGCATTCTGTCCTTGAAAGGATGCACCCTGCTTAGCCAATTATAGAGCGTTAGGCAAAGGTTGGCAAGAGGTTTGGAGAACCCTTTCCGGAGAGCATTGTCTGACAAGCTGCACAGTGTTTGTCCAGCTCGGATTACTTTGGGACTTTGGCTTGCAGCGTTAATAGGAGCAAAGTGGGAAGAATCCCTACTCCCATTGAATTTGTAGTTGATGCGTAAATATTTCAAAAACGTAGAAGTCATTTAAAATATTAGCTATAAAATTCAATTACTTACCGTAGGACTTTTAAAAAATTCATATTTGGCATAGTTTTTCCTAAATAAAAATCTGCTCTCATTTCCCATTATCCACGTGGTTTGTATTTGCACTACCATTTCATGGTCTTCCAAACATCTCTCTGGAAAAAAGACATTAAATTGTACCTAAATTATTTCAGGTAACATAGACCACAATCTGAATGGGTTACTAAAAGACAAAACTAAATACATTGCAAAACTAAATACATTATTCAACAACAACAACAACAAGATTCCATTTATAAAGCGCCTTTCACGTCAGGAGGACGTCCCAAGGCGCTGCACAGTTGGGTCATGGCCCGAGCAGGGGGGAAATGGTCAGGGTGAGGGAAAATATTCACCCACAAATATACAGTCAATTCACTTTACAGTGTGTTCTGTGAAGCGCTTTGGGACGTCCTCCCGACGTGAAAAACGCTATATCAAATGCAAGGATTATTATGAAAGATAAATCTGAGTCAAAATGCCTCAAATTAATTCCTGTTACATGTTGCGATTATTTTTGTAGGCAAATACAAGCTTCTACAAATAACCAAGTGAATAATAAATTTACTGTAAAATAATAATTCTTGCATTTGGTGTACTGCCTTATCAGGACATCAAAACATCTCAATGAGCTTCACATAATTTACTAAAGGGCAGTGATTATATATTTTATAGGCAAATGTGGCAGCCCACAGACAACTGCAAAGTGAATGACCAATTTTATTTTAGGGACTATTGGCCAAGACACTGGAAAAAACTTTCTTCTCTTTTCAAATAGTGCAATGGTTCTTTAACATCCACATGAACAAGCAGACTGGACCTCGGTTGAGTGTCTCATTTGAAGGATGGCATCTCCAACAATATAGCACTCCCACAGCCCTGTTTGGGATTGTCAGCTTAGACTATGAATTCAATGTCTTAATTGAATCCACAACCCATATACTCAGCCTGGCACAATGGTAGCACTCTCTCCTCTGAGTCAGAAGGTTGATCAAGCCCCACACTGAGACTTGAAATCACCATCTAAGCTGACATTCCAGTGCAATGCTGGGGGTGCCGTCCTTCGGATTAAATTGAGGTCCCATCTCCCTCTTCAGGTGGATGTTAAAGATCCCATGGCACTATTTGAAAAGAGAAGAGTTTCTCCCGGTGTCCTGGCCAAGCAATTCCCCAAATAAAATTGGTCATTTTCACTCCATGGCTGTTTGTGGTACATTGCTATGTACAACCGGCTACCACATTTCACCCAAAAAGTACATAATCAACCCACTTTACAGTATATCCTGTGAAGCATTTTTGAGATGTCTCAACATATTAGACACAAGAATTATTATTACTAATAATAAGAGTGCTTCCAACTGAGCCAGGCTAACACCTGTATCTGGAGGAATATTTGCCAGAACAGGATCAAAAGAAGCTCCCTTTTCAAATGGGAGTCATAGGATCATTAGCATCCACCCGAAACAGGCAGATGGAACCTTGGTTTAACACCTCACCCAAACGAATAGTAGTTAAGAAATCTGCTTCAACAGGAGTAGGAAATAGTCTCCCCTTGCATTACATTCCAAGAGTGATGCATGGAATGGGTGTTTATAAAGACATATTGGCGATGCAAGATTTAATAATGTTTTAATCTTTTGAGTATCGAAAAATGCTAAAAGGTACCGAACACTTCTGAAGGCCCATTCTGAATTGGTCCAAAGTTCAGTTTAGGGATGCAAGCAGCCTGCTCCTTTTCTTTAACATATGTCAAATACTACAACCAGATTTACACATTCAAGCACCATTGGATTGTGGAGGCTGTTGATACACATTTGTCAGATTTATACGCACTGAATATTATTAACCACATCTTTGATGTTGAGCTTGAACATTAAAATATGAATTTGAACTGGCAGGAAAATTTTGGAGGTGGTAGCATTTGCTACAACCTCAAAAAGTATAATAATATGCCTCACTAGAGCACACGTCTGCTTCTAAGATGTTTTTATGAACACCAGAAGAAATAAACCTCAAGGTTTTACATTTTTGAAACAAAAGTCGATTAAGAGGGGAACAGCAACCTGAAACTGCAGCCTTTGAGATTTATATTTTTAACAAAGTTAAATTCCCAGTACAGGCCATACAAGTGGGACCTGCAATGATGCAAGATCACAATCCTGAGGTAAAAGATGAGAGATTGCAATTTCATACATGAGGCTCACACCAAATGTAGGAAGAACTATTGATAAGGTTTGGGCTTAATTACCATTCCCTGATAATGCACACTTAAACTATTAACACACCTAAAAACTGACCTATATACTACCAGAACTAAAACAATTAAACAGTAAGTTTGCTTCTAAGGTGGTTGTATGGGTCCTGGAGCTCAGAACCCTGCCAAAAAAGTGTGAAAAAATGGCTGCTTTCCAGGTCATCAGGTTGCCACCATCACTTCCTGCATGCTGTGCATGCGCAAGAAGTACTGCTGGCATCTCGTCCTGCATGATAAAATAATTTTAAGGTATGTAAGAAAGAATTAGAGCTGCTTCTAAATTTGGAACAAACTAAAATAAAATAATATTTAACTAAAATGCAAAACAAGAACTCTTGACTATAATATGGGGTATAATTTGCATTATTTCTTAATTAGATGTCTTCATAAGAAATTTAAGCCACACAATGGGGATGTCAAAAACCAGAAGCCCTTCATGTCTACCCGTAGGAGTTCCATTCCAATGTGATCTATTTCTAGAGTAGAATTCCAGTGGGTCAATTTTTAAAAAAAATAAGAGCTGTGCCTTGTTATAGCTTACCTCCTCATTAACTTTAGCAGGTTTAAATACAATATGGGAACATGGTGGACCAGCAATATACAATTTATAAAAACAAATTAGTCATGTTTAGGGTTTCAAATGGAATATTAACATTTCCCCTACACCCATTTGATATAAGATTCTTACCAAGACCCAGATGATGATGATGTTCTACTAAAGTCCAGCTGTTGTCATCAACACAATGACATTTATAAATTAGTAGCTGGCAGACATCTCTGGCTGTTATGTCTGAAGGAATTTCGATTGCTTTGCTTGTTCCATCTTCACTAAAAACTTTGATAACCTGAAAAAGAATGATTTACCGCTGAACACCAATGTAACACATTGGGAAGTAATGTACATATTGGAACAACATGAATAAGCAGTCTTTAAAGTAAATATGTCAACTAATTCAACCTATACACAAATGAATGTTATCAATTGGGTTTCTAGTGACTGAAAATAACTTAAAACTAGTTTAAATGTGAATTAGCAGATGAATAATTCCCACATAATTTATTTCCACCCAAAATAATTCAAGAACTATCCGTATCTGCCCCTCTTCCAATCAATCAATTTATGAGCTCTACAACATACTGCATTTAGGCAAACAGTTTTATTCACCATTTCTATTTTCAACATTTTCTGCTCAGAAACTCCCTTAATCAACATGAGATCAGAAATTTAAATGACATCCTGAAGGTATAGTACTTCACTTTGAATACCTTACCTCAGTTTGCAAAAGGCAGCTGTTCAGTGAACAGGATGGCATTTTAAAATTAAACTCGATGCTTTAGAGATAATCTTGTTTCTTTCAATCCCTTTCAGCAAAGTTACACATTAAAAATATTATCAAAGAATTACTGTATCCATCATATAAACCAGGTACAGTACAAAGAAAACAAAAACAGTGGATTCATTTTTGTTTGAATACTTACAGACTCGAGTTTCACATAGGATTACACAGTCACTTAAGCAGTGAATCACACACCCTGACCAATCACTGAGCCTCCTCTGCCTGATGCAATCATTTCCCACACTGACTATTAGTGTTCTCGTTTACTTTGTCGGCCCAAAAAACCTTAAAGAATTTTTAAGATCCCGCACATGATATCATTCAAAATTGCACACGTTTATATTAATAGACAAAAGGAACACTTTAGTAATTTATTTTATAGTGAATAATTGGCAAACGTAGAATTTGCTATGTTTGCCAATTATCCCACACAATGGGTGGCTTATAGTAGCTGATGTCATCAAAATACAATTTAAGCACTGGAACTTCCTCTCCACTCCTTAGTACTGGATTCCAGCAACTTCAGGTTTAGCTGCCTGCAGCAATAATGATTGGTTTCAGTCAGCTAGCAATTATGTACTATTACTTTTACAAAGGATGTAACTTTACAACATGCTACTATTTTACTTTTAAGAAAATCGGATGCCTATATAGCAGTCGGGCAGCTCTGCACATCTAGTTTGAAGAGTTGATCCAACCCCAATAGAATCACACAAAAAATTATGACTTAGGAGGGTTAAACCTTCATCTATCTGAAATCAACTCTGAATTCATGGTAAACTTCATCTGGAAAGACTATTAGTCAATTTTCATTCACAAAATAAGGACTTGGGAGAATTGGGATCTATATTGTCAAAAAAAAGGCAAATTCTGTAAAAAAAAAGGAACTATTTTAAACAATTTAACATGCACAACCCAAAATCTACCTGGGTGCAGTGCCCAACAATGGCCATGTGCACACATCCCAAAACCTGCCTCACTGCAATGCTGATACTAGAAATGTGCACCCATTGTAATGTGAATGCCCCCCAAAAATTGTGTTTTAAAAATTCAATTCTGATCAAAAATGTTTTAAAAATTTACTGATTAACTCACGTAAAATATAGTAAGTATCGCTTGAGATGTCTCAAAGACGTGATAATGCGTTATATTAAATGATATTATATATTATTATTCATCTGAGGACATTTAGTTAAGAGAAACTAGAGCCCTGATTTTACAAACTAGCAAACGGTACACAATTTATTTAATTTTGCAATAGTTAACCCTTTTAGTTTTTTTTAAACTAGAAGAAAACAAAGCGTGTTACTATTCAGACCTGGATCAATAATAGGACCTAAAATGCAGATTCAAATGCATGCCATTAATATCAACATTAAATTACTACAAGAGCAGAGGTTGCATGTTCAGCATGACACAATATTCCTTGCATTTAATATAGCGCTTTGTCATGTTGAAGTTTCTCAGTGCTTCAGTTTTTCTGTAAAATTGTATACACACCAACAATGTTACAGAAAAACTCAAGTCACATATGAGAATAGGTTTTAAGACATTTGTTGTCACAAATATGAACAGTGTTAAGACATATGATGCCATTCAGATCACTACACATTGATATTGATTAAGGATGCATTAGCAATTTTGTAAAGTTGTATAACAGGAGATACATATGTATTCAATTCATTCAGATCAATCTAAATGTATCATTAATGATCTCCATTTAATGGCAAGCTATGTGATTTTAGCTGGTTAGACTCCAACAGTACCAATGCCTTGGCACTTGCCAACCTGCGCTTAATACTTTCCAGAATTAGTAAAGCAGGATATGACCCTCCAGGGAGAGAGCGCACATTCCATTCCAACAATTTATCTCTGGGATTTCCACGTGTAGGTGGGATGCATGAATTTTCAGCTTGGTTTGGATACTCGTAAGCTCGGTGATGGGTTTCTGCATGTGTCAGATACCCGGCTGACCAAAAAACAGAAAAGCTAATTTACTAAAACCTTCAGGAGTCAATTTATCTGGATATAAAGAAAATGTATTTTGTATCACAAAATTTTACTTTGGTTAACTGATGTTCAAGCATCCTCTAGTGGCGATTCTCATGCATGCAATTTGGAAAACTGCATTATGAAGCTTCCAAAATCAAAAGATGATGTTACATTCAGTTTAATGCATTCAGTAACAGTTGAAGAGAAACAATATAAGAGTTGGAGGCAATTCTAGGAGAGGCGTGTTTACGAAAAATGAAGATGCTTCAAACCCATTGCTAGGTTTACAAACCTGACTTAACCTGGGAACAGGGATTCTTCTAACTCAGTGGCTGTTAATCCTGCAAGCGAACAACCTAATGTGTAAAGTGGCCCTAGCTTGGAGGAAGCAAAAAGCTTGCCAATGGTATGTTAGTGGTTAATTCTAACAGGACTCCAATGGACATTCTAGTATCCCGAGGCCTTGGCTCTCATCAGCCTCAGCTCTCCAGGATCAGGTAAACTGGGCACGTCCCTCCAGGGAAGATGCATACCAAACAAACAGGAACCATACACACAGTGCTGCACCCATTAAAAGGCACTTATTTATAGCACTAATAGTTATAAACTGGTTACAATATGAACCTCATTTCATTGCACAAACGTGCAGTCAGCATGCTTGCTACCCGTATGCATGCCAACTCTTAGGTGAAAGCGACTGATTTCCGAAACACAAGGCTATTGACATTACTTCCTGTATGTTGTGCAGGTGCAGTACACAGGGAGCGATGTCTGCAGCAACCAGATGACCCAGAAGTCAGTCATTTTAGCTTTTATGCATTAAAAACAGCCAACTTCCAGGTCATCAAGTTCCTAATCTGCATATGCTCAGGAAGCAATTCGGCTGGTTATGCATGTGCTGTTAAACCAGCTATCATAGCCTCAAGACAGCATGTGTTGGGATTTTATGAACCTCGACCACTGTTTTATAGTGAAGCTCCATGTGCTGGAGTATAAGGAGGTGCTTCTCCAGTTATATGAAATGCTGGTCAGACCATATTTGTAATACTTTGATCAATTTGGGCATCCCATTTTTGAAAGGATATCCTAGCCTTGGAGTGTGTACAGTGACCCACAAGACAAATACCTAGGTTGAAAGGGCTGAGCAATGCTGAAGCCTGATAGACTGAGGTTATATTCCTTACAGTAAAAACAGTTAAGAAATTATTTGATTGATGTATTTAAATAATGAAAGGAATTGACAGGTTAGATACTGGATAATCCTTCCTATTTATAGTTTCTAAATAAGGTAGCATGGCCTTAAAATCAATGCTAAGACAGTTAGAGGTTAGCAAGATGTATAATGGTGCTCCCCAGAAGGCAGAATCAAAAGGGATGTTTAAGATAGATGTTTGGTTCCCTGATGTATTAAAAGGCTTATATTGCAAAACGTTTTGTAATCAGGATTAAAAGATCTACCTAGATCTAAAAACTGGTGGAACTGGCATGATGGGCTACTCCTATTCTTGTTTTCATATGTTCTTATATTATATATTCCTACATACTTAATAGTTTTGAAACCCTTACAGAGGTTCATGATAGTTGTTTTTTGAGACAATTTTTTTATTTCCACATTTTTTAGCCAAAATGATAATCAGATTTTCGAGTATCTACACAAAAGCTTCCTAGGATAACATCAAATATTTTTATCCTTCCAAAAGTGCCTGTTCTCCACCACAATCAAAAAACTATTTTTTTTCACATGGGTAATTACAGACTTTATACCCATCATTTTGTATCACACAGCACTGAAGCAAACAGATACTTACTTGTTTGTAATCAGAAGCAATATAGTAGATAGTTGAGATTTGCTGGGGTATCATGAAAATAATTCATTGTCCCTTGGAGGAATTTAGAGTTTCTTTGTGTCATGTCAACAACAACAAGATTACATTTGTATACCGCCTTTCACATTGGGAGGATGTCCCAAGGCGCTGGACAGTGTATAGCTTTTCAGACCCGAGCTGGGGTCAGGGGGGAGAAGGGAGGGGAGGGGGGTTACCAATAGCATGGTCGAAGAGGAGGGTTTTGAGGCGGACCTGAAGGAGATGGTGAGGCAGAGTGATTGGGGGATGGAGTTCCAGAGGTTGGGGGCAGAGTGGCTGAAGGCTCTCCTGCCAATGATGGGGCGGGTGGGTTGGGGGACGTGGAACAGGCCGGAGCCGGCTGAGCGGAGAGGTTGTAGGGGGTTAGGAGGTCACAGAAGTAGGGTGGGGCGAGGCCATGGAGGGTTTTGTAGGTGAGGACCAGGATTTTGAACTGGATCCTCTGAAGGATAGGGAGCCAATGGAGTCGGGCGAGAATGGGGGAGATGGTGTCCCGAGTTTGGTGCGGGAGAGGACACGGGCTGCAGAGTTTTGGATTATCTGCAGCCTGTGGAGGGAGGAGTTGGGAAGATCGACGAACAGGGCGTTTGCATAATCGAGCCTGGAGGTGATGAAGGCATGAACAAGTTTCAGTGGCCTGAGGGGTGAGGT